TATTTCAATCAGGTCCTCACTAAATGCAGACACTCAGGGGTTAACACTGCTGGCTCAGCACCAGAAGAGAAAGGAAAAAAAAAAAAAAAAAGGAGGGATGGAGGGAAGGTAAGGAGGAAGATAAGAAAAGGGGGGCCACAGCTTGCAACAGGAATCTTAAAGTTTGGGTAGTTAAATGGACCTTAGCCTGCTCAATTCTGCTGTAAATAAAATCTGAAGATTTAACCCTCTCTTATAATACATGGGTCTTACTAACAATGGGCTGTTCTATAAATTGTTTTTAAAACCAAAAAAATAATTCAAAGGTTTCTTCCTTTCCGCGCTTTTTTTTCATACAAATAAGGTTCTAGATTAACAAGAGTTAAATGAGTTATATTTAACAATAATCCGAGCTTTTTAAAAAATACTTTTTAAATAAAAAAAGGATATGACAAGCTCCCCTAAAACACCAAAATAAGCAGCCATCAAAGATACAGATAACCTGTCATAAAAAGATGGCACTTACAGATGTTTATGTAAGGTGATTAAGTTATTAAAATCCAGTTACATTAAAGGTTTGTAAGTTTAAAATTTAATGTACTGTATATGAACAAAATTAAATTCTCTAAGCACTAACAAGGCTATCTTAAAAATATTGTAGTCGTTCTTGATAATATTATACCAAAATTTCTAAAAATGGTTTTGTTTTGTCAGATAATATCAGAATTTGGATGCTACCAAGTTAATCTACAAATCTGTCAGCCAACAAGATTTAATAAAACACCGAGATACAGAGTCAGCGAGACAGGTGGAGTATGCTTGCAAACGATTGAGGTTGAGACAGATTTACTTAAGGAAAGCAAAAGTAAAAAAACAAAGCCAAAGGCATCCTCCAGATAGGGAATAGAAGAAAAAAAACTCAAAAGGAGCACTACACTGGAAGTCAAGACCTCCAGTTTTTTATTGGAACACAAAGAGAGTGGAGATGTAGTCCTACTCCTTCACATGATGGTGGAGAGAATTTTGGCTGGGATAGCCAGATTGGACCCGTTATTTTAGATTGGTGAATTCTGCTGTTATGTTCATCGAGCCATCTGTTAATGTCAACAGTCTGGGAATGATACCTTATCAACATCTGAGCCAGATTCTTGACCATTAGTGTTTCAAACTCCACACTTAGTTCCCATAATACTCTTATCCTGTGTTTCTGGTGATTTTGTTGGGGTTGACTACTAAGGGTAACTGACAATGTCCATATAAGAGTTCGTTTATGTGAATTTCTAGATGACCTCATGGTTAAAATACTGATTCTAATGCAGGTGGTACCTCTATGTCTGTTCTGTTGTGACGGGCTATTTGGGGTCACTAACCCTGTTCTCCTCCCCCAACTGATAAAAAAAATCTAAGGTTTTACTTCAAGAGCAACAACTAAACTAATATGTACAATAACCTCTATAGCTGTGATGCTGTTGCTGCGGTTCCTGTATATTAAATATATTATGTTCTCAAGTATATCAAGGCCTTCGCAAATAAAATTTAGATAAACACATTAACAAAAGTTAGTGGTACTGTTAGTTCTGTTAGTGCTAAATTGTCCCATCAGAATTTTAACCATGACTCTTAATTTTTGTCATTACAGTTCTGATCCTCTGAGACATTTACAATCAAGTCCATAAAAAATGACTCTAAAAACTACTTTATGTTCAACCAGGTTAGCTTTTTGACATCTGCTTTCTTAGATTTGTTTTGTATTGTTCTTGTCTAGAAGCCCCCTGCCTAAGAGCTAGTCTTCTAAGCTCTTTGTTGCTTAAATTGGCCAAAAGGTCTAAGTTGGCACTGACTCCCACCTGATGATCTCATTATCCTCCCAAGTGGGACCAAAACCAACCAAACAAAATCCAGAACAGAGCAAATCCTCACAATGAGGGGAAAAGAAATGACCATCAAGAAAGATCTTCAGTCTAAGGCCATATCACCCTGAATGCACCCAACCTCATCTGTCGCTCGGAAGCTAAGCAGCGGTCGGGCCTGGTTATACTTGCAAGGAGATGATCTTCAGAGGAGACCGCTCAGAGACAAGCAGTTTGGAGACAAAGGGGGAATGCCATCAAAGTTCAAATGGAGTCACTGGTGCCAGACCTCTCAAAAATAACCAAGGCTAAGAGGAATGAGGAAATGGTTCTTATGCATGTGTGGCTATCTGGCATTAAGCCCTTCCACACAAATCATATTTTTAGACCGGGTCTTCTACTTAAATAGAGACAAATAATTTAATTTTTACTGGCTCTAAACATGGTGGTTGAAACTTTTTTAAAACAACATACTTTCTTAGCAACATATATACTGACTAATACTGTTGCCATGGTAGTTTTACTCAGTTAAAAAAAAAAAAGACATTGGGTAAAAGAATAAAGAGTCCAACCATTAAAACCCACTGGAGGGGCCTTTGTTGTATCTTGTCTACTACTCCATCGCAGTAAGCAGCAGTTGATTGCTCCTTGATCCACTACAGTCGAGTCAAGCCTGGTTCTCTCGAGTGGGAGTGCATCCTTGATCCGTGTAGTATCACCCTCCGGAACCTGAGTGCCCTCCCTTGGCAGGATCTGTTTCCCAGGAAACAACAGGGGACCAAGAACAGGGGGACAACAGCCCTGCTCTGCTCACCCTGAAAGCTGACTAGTCTATGCACGGCAGAAGCTTTGAGGAGTCGACTCTCAATGGGACAAACGGCTGTTTTTACACACCAGTATCACTGTAATGCACTGTGACTCCTTGTCTGTATCTTGTGCTATAGTTCTCACCCTAGTCTTTGCCATAGGTTTGGCAGAAACCATCCCTGCTGATTGGACTCATAATGAAAGGTTTTTATTTGCTCTCTTCTATCTCTTTTTTGGGGCAGGACGCATAATTACTGTTTATTGTTACCGATCTGGTTTCCCTTCATGGCCCCTGAGCCCTCCTCCTATGACCTGTGTATGCCTACTACTCAGGCAGGAAGTATTGTTACTAAGACCTTACTTTTCCATACTTACTATTCCTGTGATCTGGTCATGCACTCAGAATCATACCACCTATCTAGTGTGCTGTCATGGTAATCAGCATATCTGAGGCTTTCCTTCACAGGGGGAAAGCTGCCCCTGACTGCACCAGGGCACCTGTAACCCTGTAAATTTCACTGTACTTAAGCCATCTGATTGGACACGGGGAAAAGTAATTAGAAAAAGGGCCTTGACCCTGGGAGTCTGATATACCTCAAATTAGTAACTGTTACCCATGAGAGTTCCTCATACCAAGTTTTTCACTCCTTTTATGAGGAGATAAGGTGAATTTTCCATCTGCCAAAACTAAAAACTTGTTCCTCTCACTGGCTAAATCTATAGCCCAGACACTGAATATCATCTTCATGTTATGTTTGTAGGGGACCAACATGGGAGACCATTGGCCTTGGGAAGCAAGGGAGTAAACCATGGGAACCTTTAATGAACACTGCTTTTCCAAAGCACAGGAAAGGCATCTGGTTCCTAAAAACTTCCATCATCAGAAATTATTGTATCTCCCACCAAGAAGGCCAATTCTCCACCTCAAGCGGGGGATTTAACTTGTTTAGACAGAAGTTTTACAATGGAACACTGCCCAAGAGACTATTAGGTGGGGAGCTCCAAACCATACACAACCCCACCCCCACACAATGGCCAACTTTTCTAATCTCCAGAAAGCATGGGACGATCTTACTGCAAACATAGATTGATGGGGACTCAGGGGGCCATATTGGATCTATAGGAAGCAAGCTTATATGGTGCTACCTAGAAGCTGGTTTGGGTCTTGTATGCTAGGCTGAAATCAGACCAATCCTTCTTGCTTCCCCTCAGACAAGTGAAAAACTGGGAGTCCCCATATATTAAGAAAGATTAGACAAAAATGGAGTGCCTTACAAACTGGCAATTGGAAAGATGACAAATGGCCTCCTGAGCAAATCATCCAGTACTATGGTCCTGCCACCTGGGCAGAAGACGGGTCCTGGGGCTAGCGCACCCCTATATATATGCTTAACCACATCATCAGGCTGCAGGCTGTTGTTACAATTATAACTAATAAAACTGCAAGAGCCTCAATTTTGCTGGCTAAAAAACAAAGCACTAAGATGTGCAATGTATCTGTCAGAACCACTGGCTTTAGACCATTTGCTGCTTCTGAGGAAGGAGTCTGTGGAAAATTTACCTGAGCAACTGCTGCTTACAGATGGATGATGAAGGAAAGGTCACAGAAGAGATCACAGACAGAATGAGAAAGCTCGCCCAATGTCCATCCAGACTTGGAAAGGATGGGATCCCAATGACCTGTTTGGAGGGAAGTGGTTTTCTGCTTAGGTGGATTCAAAACTTTGATAGGGGCAATAGGCCTAATCCTAAGAGCATGCTTTTTAATCTGCCTGCCTGGTTCCCCTGGTACTACGTTCTATCAGGACAATTATGGAGGCTATTAAAGAAAGGAAAATGGCCTCACATGTAACAACACTATGGAAATACAAACCCCTAGATCAAGATGATACTCTTTGACCCTAGGTGTGTCCAAGCATCAAAGAGGGGAATAATGTAGCAGCGAGGAGGATCAGAAGAAAACAGACAGACCTGAGTTCTGATAAAATAACAGGAGAGAAGGGATGGCATAGCAGAGAGATAAAACCTAAAGAATTCAAAGGTGAAGAAAGTCACTTAGCACTAGGTGAAGTAGCTTATAGAATTGCATGTAACCATATATGGGTTAAACCCTGTTTTTTTTTAAATTTTATTGCCTCTGTAACCTGCTTGCAAGGGTACATAAGGTGAGACCCCTTTGTTCTCAGGGCTCAGCCTTTGGACATGAGTCCACTGGGTCTGTGCTAGCACAATAAAACATTGCTTCCTGCTAAACTGCCTCATTGTCCCATATCTCAGCTAGCAACTTCCCCAACACTAAGACTACTTCTTCTAAGAATAATGAAGGTGATATGCTCATTCTTTTGAAGAATATTAAGCTCTTGCTTTTTAGGCTGGTAAACATAGGGGGGTTTTGAACCCTTAACTTTCTGGACTGCCTTTAGATAATATTACAGTACTTCAGAATTGTTAATCACAGTAAAAACATAATCAAAAACAAATCATTCACTAATCCACAAATAGCAATAATCAGGAAACTAGTCAGCAGCTTTTTAAAAAGAAATGGCCTTTTTAACAAAGGATTTGAAAAAGCAAAAACAAACAGAAAAATCCTCACCAGGCCACTGTGCAGGAGAGGAATTTGGTGTTGCGTGTTCCTCGATGCTTTCTGTCCTTAATCTTCGCCGATCACTTAGAAGCAGCCCTTGATACGCCATTCCTGTAAACTGATTTCCTTCTGTTTGACTGCTAAAAACAAATAGGCTCAGTTATTTATCATCCTAAGAGAGGTAATAAGAAACTGCACTTATTAAGTGCCATCATCTATTTTAGGTGATTATGAAAATATCAGAAGTGCTTAAGACTGAATTTGCTGTTTGAGCAAGAATTTTAGAAAGTTCTTGAAATTAGTCATAAATACATATTGATAGTTTTTTTTTTTTAAATATCAAATTTTACTATGTTGGACAGATGGCATTTAGTCTGAAATTTTTTTCCAGAAGCCACCTAATATTTTTAAATCTTTTCTGTTTGCACTCATTTTCTTTTCAAGTCTGAGATATGGAGACTACTTTTGGTCTACAATGCACTACACAGAAAGTTTCAGAGTACTAATTTGTTGTATTTCTTAGCTTAGCAGAGTTGAGCAAGCCTAATCTTGAATTAAAAATATGAGCCAAAATCTAGAGGATCATATTTTAGGAATACCTAAACCTAAAACCTAATTTCCCTAAATATTTATCTCCCTCTCCATAGTGACTATCTTTGTGGAACTGGAAGAAATACAAAAACAGAAAGTAAAGTTGGGCTACAGAGAGTAAATCAGTCTAAGGCCTGGAAAATAGAAATTTGAAAACAATGTATTTCAGTTCTCCTTTGGTGACATTTTACCCAGTGACTGATACCAAACAAGTTATCTATGATCATTTAGATGACCACGTCAACTAAACCAACTTTTTTCCCCTTATTTACATTACCAAGTCTTTGGAGTTATTTAGACATAGCGTAATTAGTTAGGGTAAAACCAGAGTCCAGGCCATTTTGAAATTAACTCCTTATTTAATACGAAGCGTTTCCACAAAAGGCTGATAAATTAACAAGAAAAAGTCTAGATGTATATTTAGTATAAATTTCCTATGAATATGTTTCTATTAAATTTTTCATTAATCAACAGCCTTCATTAAATCTGGGTCACCTTTTCAAGTGATTCAATTTCTTACGACTTACAACTAATCATTAAAATGCAAAGCATATGCTGATGAAGGCAATTTGACACTTAGAAAAATTCAAATCATTACTTTAGTTGACATCACATCCAAAGACTTCTACATCAGACATAAATGGGTAAAATTTATTTTAATAATTCAATTTTAAGAATGTATTTTTTCATTTTCTCAGATTTTTTTCAACTGAAAGCCAGTTAAACAAGTAGAAACTGACCCAATGAAAAAAAGAATTACAAAGCAAAAAAATTAGAAAATTTATTAGTACAAATTATTTTAGACAATAAACTTTTCATTCTTGGAAAGAGAAAAGATGGTACTAGAAATCATTTACACGTATTACTTGTCATTTTCTATATTTCTCTGCTTTTACTGGTGACATCTAAACAGTTAATTTATTTCAGGTTCTATACTATCCAAGTATACATGTCGTTCATATTTGGGAATTTTTCAGTGCCTAGGATACAGAACCCTAATAAAAACCCTAGAACGGTTTAATGTTTTTGCTGTATTAATACTATTTTGGGTGATTTTTTTTTTTTACCTGTAGCTATGACTGTCACATAATGCTTGGTAAATTGATGCAGAAAGTGATGCTGCTAATGAATGAAGTGTGTGCACCTAAAACCAAAACAGCCACAATTACATTTTGTACTAGCATTTCTACACAATAGTCATCTTAAAAATTAGAAAATACTTATAGATCTAGCAATGCCATAAAAAAGACTGGATGCTGCATGAGACGACTAATTCTGCTTTAAAACTTCTAAGAAAATACTCATCCATCTTTAGATATGTGCCCACAACCAAACTCACTGATTCAGACATAACTTTATCAAAGATTCACTCACTGTGAGCCCGTCCTTTACCAGGCCCTGAGCAAAGTGCCGATGGTGATGTCACTAGGACCTGTCCTAGGATACCAACAACTAGTTTAAATAGTAAGATGCAAAAAAAAAAAAAGGTGGAACCAAGTTAAGTATGGAATTTTCTGCTTTCATTTAAGCTTGCCTTATGAAATTATCCTCCATGAAAATAAAGTTTTGATGTGGTCAATAAAAATGAATCTGTTTAATAGGTATTATCAATCACTGTATGAAGTGGCTGATTTTCCAAAATGCAAATAATTTACTTAATATTCATAAGGGATAGTCTTAAAGTCTGCAAATAATTTACTTAATATTCATAAGGGATAGTTTTAAAGTCTGCATTTAGAAAGTTTAACAATTCCCCACATAATATAAAAAGCCAATCTGAAATGCCACACTGAATCAACACTTTAGACTCATAAAAATCTTAAAATTTGAAGGACCTTAGAAATAGATTCATAACCTTTGAAAGTCTTATCCAAATAGAAATACTGACTTAGAACTTGCATAAATTTTATGTCTTTTTCTACATCTTCACCTAGCAAGTAACTTATGCTTTACTAAAATACTTATAAGGATTAATTCACCCTATGGATTAGAATTCTCTACTAGGTTGATATGACTAGTAAATCTTGGGTCCCTCAGAAGAATGTACTCCCAGAGATAAGGTTTGCCTGTCAAACCAACTGATTAAAATATTGGGAACCTGAAATGTGTATCAGCCACTGGAATGAGAAAAAACCCAGCACAAAGACACTCAGGTACATGCAGTGGAAGTGTGGTCAACTCTCCAGACCCTACAGGCTCCCTAAAGTTTCTTCAAATTCATCAGTTTTTAAGTTCTCAGCATATGGCACAGGTTTAATATGAAGAAGTAACTCCAGAACTCTTGATTGTCCCTGACAACTGCAGCCTTCAATGAACACCATCACCAGGGAAGCAGTAACAAAGAAAACCTTTCTGACCAATCACGGTTCTTTCTCAGGTACTCCTCCCCAACTTGTAGTTTCAGAGTCCTGGCATATAAACAAAGAGTCAAATATTTCTAACTTACTGACTCAAGGGAATGGAGGCTGTCTAGATAATTAGTTTCATTACCAGAAATCATTTACCTGTCTTAAAGGAAGACGGTAACTTTCACAGAAATAAGAAGAATGCACATTTTTAAAATTATATTCACTAAATAAACAGTTTGGTCAGAAGTGAAAAGAAAGGATATTTCCTCTAAGTTCAAACTGGAGACATACAGTACAATATATTTACCTCCTCAGTGTACACAGTATCGAATGACCACAAACTTCACATTACCTTCACGTCTTCAACACTGGGATGAGGTGGCGTTTTCATCTGAACAATAGTATAAAGTATATCATGGATGTGATTATTTAAGTACAAAACAGGATTAGCTATGACTGTTTTTGTTGAAGCAATACTTGCTGAAAGCAGGGGCAGAGTGGTAGGCAGTGGTAGAGGAGACTGGAGCTGTTTTACTGTAGTTTCCTGCAGGGGACAGTGAATTATTTCATAATAGTTAAAGGAGAAAAAAGTAAGTTATTTGATAAAACACTGGTGATAAACATTTGAGTAAAAGCAGTATTTCCTTAACTTATTCACTCATTCTATAAACATGCATTGAGCACCCTGTATACACCAGGTACTCTGTTAGATGTAGATGTAAAGATGAGAGCTGTGCGCTCCACCTTTTAAGTGCACTTCTAATTACCAAAACTCTCAGCTAAGAAAACCACATAGAATGCTAATATCTGCCTCCTATGAACGAGTAGAGGACCTGAATATATTAAAGTTAATTTGTGGAAAGAGTTTCACTGCTCTAACTGGAAGAACTATTGAAATCATTGAGCTGACCAGGATTGAAAACAAAAGTGATGTCCATACCTGCTGCGATTCTTGTAGCAGAAATTTGAGTTCCATTCTTACTGAGGCCAGACCACCACCTTGGGCCCCATGAAGGCTACAGTAACTAAGAAACACCCTTAGGAGATCTTGGTTTTTCTGCAACCACAACTTTCGCCTTTCTGCATGTTCTCGTTTAGCCTGCAGTCTTCGCCTTTCTATTTGGTGGCGCTCATAGGAACCAATATCTGGTTTGTCTACTATTTCCTCCTGATCCAGAAGGTCACTCTCCAATTTGGAATATGTTTTACTGGAATATTCTTTAATAACTGCTTCATGATTACATATCTCATGCAAGGCAGCAATTTCCTTTTCCAGCCAGTTATAGAGTTGAAATCTGAGCTTTCCTCCATCTACTTCATAACCTGTAGCCAAAGTTCTCAGTTCAGTCATAAGGATCTTTAAGCAAGCTCTGAATTTTAGTTGTTCAGCAATCACATCAACTTCAGTATCACCTTCAGGAGGATCCTCTTCCTGAGGGGTCAATAACATATTAGGATCTGAGGCCTTCTGATCTTGTCCATCGTTTCCCCTAGTATCTGTGCTTTTCATTACTAAACCGATAGCATCTTCCTCCTCTTCTAAGGCACTATCATGCTCTTCACCCCAATCAAGATTAAGAGGTTCCTCATTAACTGTAAGGACTGGCTGACTCCAGTCAAACTGTGAGGAAGTGACAGCTGACCAGTCATTGCCGGAACTTCCACTGCCATCACTCAGAGTTTTTGATTCTGAAGGTCCATCACCCATCTTTTTAGAAATGAAGTTAGACTGATCTTTTTTTTCAGTTAAGGAAGACATTTTGGTTACTTTGGGAATTTTGGAAAGTACCTCTAGGGCTAGAACAGGGCACCCAACTTTAAAATGAGCATTTGCAGTAGTAAAGAACAATTTTCTTTCTATGAGGTTAATTTTATCAGCAAAGTTTTTCTCAGTTTTGAGACCTAAGGTTGCCAAAGTTCCTTCAGGGGAGGCAAGATTTCTTCGAATAAGCAAAGGATGTGTTCGAAGATAGTTGTAAAAACTAAACACCACCGGATTACAAGATTTGATGATAACTATAGAAATCAAACAGATAAAATACTGTGTCAATTTGCAAAAGGATAAAATGTTAAAATTTAAACAGATAAAATACTGTGTCAATTTGCAAAAGGATAAAATGTTAAAATTTCCTCAAAATAAAGGATACATAAATATTAACCTAGCATAGCTATACTACATTCATATAATTATGAAAATAACACAGCTGAAATAAAGAATTTCCTATATGCTATGGAGTGGTATCTAAGATACATTAAGTAAAAGAAGGTACAGAAAGTGCATATAGTAATTGCTCTTACCTAAGAAAGTGGAGAGTGAATATAGACACAGGCATATTTACATATACGTGTGTGTATAGATATATTTGTGTATATAATTATATATATTTATATATACATGTATATATGTCTTTTTGGTGATGGGGATCAAACTGAGAGGCTGGTGCATGCCAGGCAAATGCTCTACCACTGAGCTACATCTCTAGTCCTTGTTTTTGTTGTTTTTCTTTTGAGACAAGATTTCTCCATGTAGCCTAGGCTGGCCTTGGACTCCCAATCCTCCTCAAGTTTAGCGGCAATCCTCAAGTGTTGGGATTATGTAAGTGTATCATCATGCCCAGCTTGTTTGTATTTTTTAAATAGAAAGAAAACACACGCACAAAAATTTAATTGATTTCCTAAAAAAGGGGAGGGGAACAGGGAAAGAAGGTCTCTGAAAATACCTTGGTTTTAATATTATTTTCAAAACTATGTCAATATTTAATATACTTTTAAAAGAAAATTAGATTTTAAAAAGCAATTTATAAAAAGCAAATGTAAAATTAAATGAATAAATCTGTGTAGCAAGTTGGAAATATAGTCACACAGAGGTGAACTATGAAAGGTGAATTTTTTTTAAAAATGGGCCTTGTATTTGTCAGGCAAGCACTCTACCACTTCAGGCATGCCTCCAGCCCTGAAAAGTAACAAGAAATTTACTGTACATCTTTAGCAGAATATATCCAAAAGACAAAAATATGTGCTCCCTCCGAAAAGCTTAAACAGTCTTCAGTGCTCGTGTTGTTAGGAAACATGTATTTGTATTCTTATTCTGAAACTATTCCAAGCATATAAAATAGCAAGTAATTGTTAATGCCACAAGAATCCAAATCTGTCATTACAGAACACAAATTTTAAATCTAAGACCCTTCTAATCTATAGTTGAATTAGAAACTTGAGTGTGATCTCCCAAATTATAGAAACAAAAAGCCCTAGCTACATTCATTGAACAAGCCTAGAAATGATGACCAAACCAGTGGATCCGAGCCCAGACTGAAGTCTCTAAGTGTTACTCCCCACTAAAAGGAAAGGAGTCTCTGGAGAAATGCTCATTTCCAGGTCTGAGGCAAGAAATGTACAGGATGAGCCTGAAGCATTTTGCCACAGCAGAAATCAAGGAAACTGTTGAAAAATAATGCAAAAGGCTTCAGAAACCTGAAGAGGTTCCCAAAGGTTAAAGAGGGCACAATCCAAACAGCTATGAAACAAATGCAAGCGTCTGCAACATTATGAATCTGTCCAAATCTAAGTTCAAAGTGACTTTTAAAAAGAAAGAAAGGAAAGGGCTAGGATGCAGCTCAGTGGTAGAGGGTTCGATCCCAGCACCAAAAAAGACAAAAAAAAGAGAGAAAAGGCTAACCAGTCACTTTTGGAAGATATTAAGGATCAAACCAATTTTTTTTTTTTGGTAGTACTGGGGTTTGAACTCAGGGCCTACACCTTAAGCGACAGTACCAGCCCTTTTTTGTGTTGGGTATTTTTCGAGATAGACTCTTGAGAACTACTGCCCAGGCTGGCTTTGAAATGTGATCTTCCTGATCTCTGCTTCCTGAGTAGCTATGACCACAGGCGTGAGTCACCGGTGCCCAGCCCCAACCAAAATTTTTATACAAGCCTAGTTATGAGTTGATAATACTGACACTGGTTGATGAATTCAGAGTTTTATTATGTTATTCTCTTTCATATGTATTAAAAAGTTTCCAAAATAACAAGCCTTTAAAAATAAATCTGGGAAATGCTAGAAAATAAAGAACCTCCCTTCTATTAAAAAATGCATACATCGTTTAAATTACCTGGGTAACTTAAATAATTGAGTTTTCTTCTAAAACTTTTTCTTTCTTTTGCTTTAAATATTTAAATAATATTAAAATATTATATATCTTCTCTATAAAGAAAGTAAAATTAAGCCCTAAATCTCTTTAAGCCCTTTTAACATCTATAAGCAAAAATAAAATATAAGGCTAGAAAATTATACAAAAGGAAAAATAAAAGTTAACATCTTCCCAAAAGATAGCCAAAATCAAGTATTTACTTTCTTGTGATCGATTCCAGGAAACAAAAACCAATGGAGAGGCAAAGGGAGTCAGGCACAATGTGTGTGCACACTCACACTGTGTGTACACAATTGGCATGAGGTATACCATATGTATGTAAAATGCAACAAGAATCACACTGCTCTATGTCTTATGTTTTTCACATAACAGTATGGGACGGTGATCAATTTCATTCTTCAATAACACAGTTTTTTATAATATGAACACATTATCATTTATTTAGCTATTCTATTAGAATCTTCCCCTTTTTAAAATTTTATTGCAAAAATATTACCTTCCATGTTTAAAAAAAAATCTAACTAATTTGGGATAACCAAGAGTAAAGAAATCTACGACATCATAATAAAGGGCTTCCAGTCCCATGCACCGAAACAATATGTACACCATTCAAATTCTCTGCTTTAGGAACGCCGATGTGGTTATTTAGAAAGAGGTGAGGAGCACGGCAAACATTCTGTATTTCTTTTCTTGCAGTACTGAGGGCTGAACGTATGCTTTCTAGATATGTGTGAAATTAGAACAGTATGGTAATCCTATCTTATATTCCTCAAAATATAATTGTGAGAAGAACATGAAGTCTTCTTACCAAATTATGATAAAAATGCTAGGTTTTATTACAAATATTAAGTGACTAATCTTTTAGATTCACAAAACCTTCTGATAATTTCTCAAAATTAAAAAATAAATTTGGCAATGATTATTTTTAATTTGTATAAACAAGTTCATAAATTATCTTCCCTTAAGGAAAGATAAAGAGAAACCCATAAAAGATCTACCTTGATGTTCATCATCCTCCTTTGGCGTCTGTTCCAGTAATGTGTCCAAGGCTTGGGTATAATCTTTCATTACCCAATAGGCAAGACTACGCAGAAAAGGGTCAGGATGTAATCTTCTGCAGTTGAAACCTGATCCTTCCTTTTGGCAACCCAAAATCTTCTGATTCAAGATGGACATGTAAGTGGATGAAGTCTCAATTTCAGATTCATATAAACGGGCAATAACCATGGCTAGCTGAATATCTTCCATTTTTTCAAGACATACCTACAAATTTAAATGTTAAGAAATGCTTCTCTTATTTAGTGATAATTACTTAGCAATATTAATTAATTATCCCACTGATGGCCTGAAACTGTCTACTATTTATGTTCTTAAGAAGAATGGATGGGGTGAAAGGTATTTAGTGACTGGAAGGAGATTAAGGAAGAATAAGAAGAAAAGTAAGAGACTAGAACTTAGTAGGTTCTAGCCTAGAAAGATCATTTCTAAAACAAGTATGTCAACATCATCTCAGACTTAGGTCAATTTAAATTAATATTCATTTTTTAATTAAATACTACTTATAACAATGGAACTTATACAATAGTTCCTCTTAATTTCCAAATATTTCCATATAAACAGAATCACACTATTTTTAAAGGCCCTCTACTACATAGCAAATAACTTATAAAACAGCTACATACTCTTCTCATCCCTTTGGGAGCCCATCTTGAAATGTCACTACTGATCCTGAGAATCTGAGGTAATCACACACTGTGATCATTTGTCAGTCCACAGCACTGCTTGTCCTTGCTTGAATGTCTTACAAGTACATTAAAGACCAGTATGAACTGCTATTTTAGTCCTTCATCTACCAATTCCATTTAGAAGAATAACTTAAAAATATCTTCCTTTCTGCACAGGATGAGGAGTGTGACCTACACATTTTAAATGTTTCAGAATCACGAGATGGCTTAAGGCGATGACTTTGTAAACTATTTTTGCCATTTTTTTCATAATTTTACACATTACCTTGACATGCAGTACGCCATATCTAAAATTATATTTCTCCCCTGAATTTATTTATAATTTCATTCATCACAGAGCTACTATCTGAAGTTCAGCAATTCTGTACTCTTTGTCCTTACAAACATGACAAAAATCACAATCTCCTCTAAGACCTTGGGGGTTTTAATCTTACTAGTGTTTAATGTCATGTTTTCTTACTTATTTATACCTCAATGGCATCTTTCAGTGAACCAGCTAACAAGAAGAAAGCAGCCGATTGTTCAAAGCGCTGTTTTCCGAGCAAAGAAAAAGCATTTTTTAAAGCAGCTTTACGCCACCTATCTTCATTGAAGTTGTGACTGAAAAACGTCGTCATTTTCTCATCGTGTTGTGACCTGGGAACCAGAGCATGAACATCAGTGAATAAACCAAATCTAAAATATTTCCATCCTTTACAGAATTGTGAAAATAGGAAAAACTCAAACCCATCTAAACAGAGCTGGGAACTTCAGCCACAGCGACCGTCTCCCACCACCTCTTCACTTCTAATGTGCAAAGTTAACTGTGCCTTACAGGCCCAAGTAAGAAGCAAGAAAAGTGCAGCTTTACTTTCTTTTTTTTTTTTTTTTTCTGGCTACAAGTGTATTCAACACAAAAGAATCCCCTTCAATTTTACTGAGGTGGCTGACCACGTCCACAACCACATCCGCCTCTAAACTGGAATTCAGTTGCTGACCCAGCCTCAGCTTCTTGTCAGCACCGGGTGGCACAGCACTCCGTCTGTAGGTGTCTGTCAGCTTCCCCTCTTGTGAATCTTGCAGGCCGCTCACCCTCCAGACCTTTGGGCCTAGGCCTGCCTGTCTCTGGACGGCTGTGATGCAGAGTGGCAGGCACGACCTCAGGAGGCAGGTGGAAGTAATCAGTAATCACGGAGATACAGATACCCTCATAAGTGAGGTACCAATAAAAATGTCTGCAGGCAAACTGTTCCTTCACACAGCCCCGAGACTTGAGGACTGCATGGCTTTCATGACATGAAGGTTGGGCACAATCCTGTCTGCCACCTCTGGGTGCTTGGGCATGGGGACATCCTTCTTGGCCACCATCACTCCCTGCCTAAAAAGGCGTTCATAAAAGGCAATCCGGTTCTTCATTAACATCGAGGCAGCTTCAGGGGCCAAGGCCGAGGCTGGAAAGCAGCTTTACTTTCAATGTGCTTTTTGCTTTACTTTTTTTTGTTTGTGTGGGGGTGGGTAGGGTGGAACAGTACTGAGCATTGAACTTGGGACCTCAAGTGCTCTACCTCTTGAGTTATGCCACCAACTCTTGAGTTTTTGCCCAGGTGGATCTTGATCCCCTTCCCTCTGCTGACTCCCTAGCAGCTGGGATCACAAGCACACACCACCACACCTGGCCTGTTTGTTGAGATGGGGTCTTATTAGCCTTTTCCCTGAGCTGGCCTCAAACAGTGATCCTCTTATCTATGCCTCCTAAACTGCTGGGATTACAGGCATGAGGTAGTATATCTGCCTTCCAATGTGCTTTTATCAAGTTTTTTTTTTTCAGTATTCCACCCTTTACATTAAATTGAAAAGATACTTTGCCCCTTTCTGCAGCAAAAGGAACCAAGGCATAAAGAAGTAAGCTGATTTGACCAGACTCATACACTAATTATTTTCAGAAGCATTAGGCTTCTGACATGACACACTGCATGCTGCAGTGACTCACCTGAACAGACCCCACACCACTGCTTTCTTCTTCATGGAGAGGTAGAACAATGCAGCATCTAAGGCATCATTGTTCCTTTGAAAGGAGGCTTTGGCAACCTAATGATAAATAAAATGACTATTTGACAAAACAACACAGTCAACAATGAATGCTTCTCTGCTACTTCTATGGCTGACATAAACTCAAACACAACCAAAGCTGTTGAATTTATGCAGAACAAATCCAGTCTTTAAAAGTTTAAAAATCGTAGCCAACTCTCACCCTTGCACTTCAAGCAAGAGGTGCTTTTCTCCCCCCTTTTCCTTTTCACCTACTTTCTCTTGATTTAATAAAACAAATCCTTGCTAAAACTTAAAGTAAAAATTATAGCCGGGCATGGTAGCTCACACTTGTACTCCTTGCTATTCAGGAAGCAGAGATCAGATCAGCCCAGGCAAAAAGTTTGCAAGACAACATCTCAATTAATAAAAGCAGGGTACGGTGATATGTGATTATCACCCCAGTTACAAGGGAAGTATAAATAAAATCACAGTCCAAAAGGTTAGATCCTACTCAAAAAGTATCTATGACAAAAAGGGCTGGGGTGTGGCTCAAGTGGTATAATGCCTAGGTGTCTAACAAACAGAAAGCTCAGAGTGCAAACCTCAATACTGCCCAAAATAGTTTTTTTTTTAATTATTAACCTGTTATCATTATTGTGTGTAATCACATTGTTTTGGATAACAGCATAAAGACCACATCTTAGTTACCAAAGATGCTGAGGCATCTCTGCAAATCACTGAGTTCAGAAACAGAATAAAAACCATGGGTGTTTTATTAGCTCACAATGACTGAAGTTACTGAAGCCTGGGGGAAAGGAGGAAAGACATCTAAAACTGTACCATACAAATGTTTTATTCTCAATATTCTTCTATATTTCTTCCCTTTTTAGCATTTTCTATTCTTTTCATCATTTAACTTATGGCTTTAATATGTTCTATCATTCTTTTATTCATATTCAGCTAAAGATTTGAAATATATATTTCAAAGCAAAAAATTATACATCCCTTTAATTATAGCATTTCAAGTGTGCAAAGGAAACTTGCTAATTATTAAACTAGCCATGCAGAAAATCTTTTATATAAAAGGAATGATTTTTCTAAGTAATGTAAATAAAGGACACAACTTAAGAATGCTTTCTGAATTTAGACTTTATATTTTCTTAAAATAAGACACACCTCAACTAATTCAGAAAGTACTATTTCATAAATATAAATTATATATATATATATACACATGCATAATATATAGAAATTTCATAAAATTCATGTTTTTACAATGTCCAAAAAATTCAATTAAAAATTTTCAAGATCTCAAGATGTACAAACTAACTCCTCATGACAAGTCCCTCTGGACATAACATCTTTTGTTCCTTTAAGACTGTTTTTGGTTTTTTTTGTTTTAACTTCAAAATCCAGTGAAGTAAAGTTACCTTTTCAATGCATCTTCGGAGCGTGTTAATATTTCTCACCCACCAACCTATTCCCATAGCTCTTAACTCAGACCACTGAGGGTCCCCTCTCTGAATTGCTGGAATCATATTAATGAGTTCTTCCTCAGCCTCAGAATGAAAAGCCCAGGCAAAATGACAGGTAGACACACCTAAATTGGAAATACGGATTAATAACCTTCAGAACTACATCCAAAATAACAATCTTTTTCAAGTAGAAAGAAAGGATGAAAGTCTGAAATCACTCAGGATATTATGCTATCTAGCCTCTGAATATAAGAATGCTGGAAACAAGCCAGGAATGTGTGGCACTTATAATCCTACCTACTTAGAAGGCTGTCATTGAAGGCCAACCAGGCCAAACACTTGGTAAGACCTCATCTCAACCAATAGCTGGGCATGGTGGCACGTGTCTGCTGTCATCCCAAGCAACGTGGGAAGGCTGAGATTGGGAGGATCACAGATCCAGGCCAGCCCCAGCAAAAAAGTCTGTGAGACACCGTCTCAGAGAGAAAAAGCTGAACATGGTGGCTCGTATCTGTCATCCCAATGACCACCTGAAGCATAAAATAAGAGGATCGAGGTCTAGGTCAGTGTGGACAAAAAATAAAGACTGTCTCCAGGGTAACCAGGGCAAAAAGGGCTAGGTGTAGCTCAAGCAGTAGAGCACCTGCCTAGCAAGCACAAAGCCTTGAGTTTAAACTCTAGTACCATCCCCCCTGAAAAAAAATATTAATAGAATGTCAGAAACATAAGATCCAAATCTTTTTCCCAAAAATTATTTTTTCATACAAAAACGTGTAATTGAAAAGAGAGATCATTGACTATTAAGCTATTCACATGTACACACACCAAACTTAAATAAAGAAAGCTTCCATAAAGTCAAAAGCACTTGGTCCACATGCCTGGGTGTTGGACTGCTACTTGCTTGAGAACCACTGCTCCATTCATCCTTAAAGCCAGAGAGCTAAGTACACTTCAAAGCAAGCTCTAAACGTCATGAGAGTTCTAGTACCAGAATAAAGGAATAAATCAGGGATAGATCACAGTCATGAGGTATATTCCTCTGCCTCTGTGCCTTCATAAAGCTGCCTAAGACGACTGGAAAGGATCTACACTGTATTTAGAGGCAACAAAATGGGTTTAGGGAGGCCAGAAGACTACCAAGTACAAATGAGTTCTGATCAATAGTTTACTGCAAATGCTGTACTCCACTTAGAGCAGGTGAAGAGAGAGAATGCAAGAAGAACCAAGAGAAGCCTGTTACAGAAGCCTGGCTGGCTGGGTATGTAGCTCAGTGGCAGAGCACTTGCCTAAATGTGCTGGATTTGATCCCCAGCACCTCAATAAATTAATTAATTAAATAAAGAAGGCAGACAGGCCTAAGCACCATCTATCTGAGCCTATTTTGGAAACAGAAATGTCTGAGGTTAATGATGGTCACATTATAACAAGCCTCTTAAAGCTATAAAGCCATCAATATTACAGCATAAAATATTTTCATTATCATCTACTATACAGAGTTCTCATGTAACTCTGAAGTCTTCCTGATAATTACTGCTTTATAATAATTCCCTTAGGAAGTATGAAAGGAAAAGTTGTTATGAACATTTTGAGTAATCTAGTTTCCCATTGCTTATGTTTATGTATCACTGCTCTTGAACTCAAACCACAAAATTTTTTTTTCATTTTTCTTTTATTATTCATATGTGCATACAAGGCTTGGTTCATTTCTCCCCCCTGCCCCCACCCCTTCCCTTACCACCCACTCCACCCCCTCCTTCTCCCCCCCCTCAATACCCAGCAGAAACTATTTTGCCCTTATCTCTAATTTGTTGAAGAGAGAGTATAAGCAATAATAGGAAGGAACAAGGGTTTTTGCTGGTTGAGATAAGGATAGCTATACAGGGCATTGACTCACATTGATTTCCTGTGCATGGGTGTTACCTTCTAGGTTAATTCTTTTTGATCTAACCTTTTCTCTAGTACCTGTTCCCCTTTTCCTATTGGCCTCAGTTGCTTTAAGGTATCTGCTTTAGTTTCTCTGTGTTAAGGGCAACGAATGCTAGCTAATTTTTTAGGTGTCTTACCTATCCTCACCCCTTCCTTGTGTGCTCTCGCTTTTATCATGTGCTCATAGTCCAATCCCCTTGTTGTGTCAAACCACAAAATTAATGCAACAAATCTTAACTGTCACTGCAAATTAATGGACAATGGGAAAAGTGCACAATATTTTTACATCGATTTGTAGTTTTTCAAAACCTAAAGGGCAGATTAATTTTCTATCTCAGTCTCTGCCTATCAAATAATATTCTGCTTTAGAACCTATTAAATAGTGATGCAAAACACATTCTTTTGCTGATATGAAATTAATGCTATAAAAAATATAAAATCTATTCTATATCCATATTAAATATAATCAATTGTTTTTGTCTTTTTGAGGTGGGGTTTCACTACATAGTCCAGGCTAACCTCAAACTCAAATCCTTCTGCTCAGTTTCCTGGGCAGTGATATTACAGTGTACACCACCATGCCCAGCAAATTTGATTAAAATTCTGGTATGATTAAAAAGAAGTAGAGCTAGAATGTGGCTAAAGTGGTAGAGCACCTGCCTAGCAAGCATGAGATCCTGAGTGCAAACCTAATTGAACAAAAAAAAAAAAAAGAAACAAACAAAAATGCATTCGAGCATGTCAAAAGAATTAGGTCTCAAAATGCAAGACTAAGGGTGCAGTGAATGTGTATGGAACCCTTAGATGTGAAATGCTATTCGGGAAGAAAAAGAACAGGGTAACAAAAGACACTTATTTTTATTCACCTACCAAAGGCAGGCTAGTCTTTATAGTTCATCTTTGTTCTTCTTACCTATACAAAATCACTTAACTTCTTCCCTGAAAACTCGTAGGACCATTGCCTATATAACACAGTCACTTCCCATCATGAGTATTTTAACTACTGTCAAAAGGAAAATGGAATTTAACAAAGCTTTAGCTATCTGAGGTGTTTCCCTAATCAATGCACACAATTGTCATTAACTGATTCAGTAATAACGAAACTTTAAAGGAACACTGAGTAATTTTTAAAACTTATCCAAGTGGCAAAGACTGTTTAAAGTGATAATATCAAATGCTGGTAGCAGGATGAGTTTTGACATCACTGACCACTGCTTCTGGGAATGCAAATGAGCACAGTCCTCCAAAGTACATTTTCAAAATACCAATCATTTCACACCCTTTGACTCAGTAATGCAACTGCTAGGAGACTAAAACATAAGGAAATAATCAACTTATAAATATTTATACGTAAGGTTACAGGGTCATTCATGATAATGATCATTCAAATTTTAAAAATCATCAAAAGCTAAATGTTTCAAAAATAAAGGGTTGAGCAGATAAAACACAGTTTAGGGGCATGACAGAACATCAGACAGCTGTTTAAAATCTTGTCTTCAAAGAACACTTACAAGGTAAAAGGTAAGCCTTATGAGTAACAGCCACAGTCTATCAAGCCTTGTATTCTAAGGCCTACAATACTAGTGCACATTTCATGAGGCTTTTGGTTTAAAAAGGAATACAGTCCAAAGAAGTGAGCACTGGACTGGGAGTCTAACTCCATGGCTGTAAAAAAGAGACCTACATTCTGGGGAAGTCACTCTAAATTCTAGTTTCACCTATTAATCTGTAAGTAAGAGTGTGACATAAATCCTTATGTCTCAAATCAGGGTGTGTGGCAGCAATAGTGGACATATTCAAATCTAGTGAACAGTGTGGCAGATCTTCCTCAAACAACAACTTGCTGGAAAGTTAAACATAATTGTTAGATTAAAATGAATACAACAATAATATGCAGAACAACATTTAAAACTCTCAAAGAAACAAAAGACATCAGGCAGAATTCTGGGCCCCTTTGTAAAGAGTCACTTTGTGTTATTACCACCTCAGGCATACCACATTTACTCCCTAAGCTACTACAGCTTTAGTGAGTAAAGTCTCAGAAACTGAACTATTTGAGCAAAAGTCACAGGACAGAGCTGAAGGAAAATATAAGTGGGTACTATGTGACAGGAAGATCTTAAGGCTGTAGACTGGTTTGCATATAACGACGTACCTGTTGCTTACACACAGACATGACACCCACCACTGCAGAACTAAGTAAAAGTTGTGCAAAGATTCAAACAATGAATAGAATACCTTGATGAAGTAGCTGTACTCGGTACAAGGGAGGCAGTGATGTTAAAAGGCATGTATGCAAGCGCATAGCTAACAAGTATCTCAAACCACACTCATCTAAGGTGTCTCTTCCTGTAATTTTAAGTAGAAAATATGTTTAAGGGAAAAGGATTTCAACAGATCACAAAGTAATTACAAAGTTATAGGATAAACATTAAACTTTGTAATAATAATTTACACAAAATAGGTATTTTTAATATATTGCTTTGTGAACATTTTAATATCTTTACAAACACATGAATATTAAAACTCCTAAGTGGAAAATGATTTGGGAAAATTAAATTACCTACTAATACAGATAACTGCATTATATTTATTCAAATGAAATATTTAAATCTAATAAAATATATAGTAACTGCAGCAAGTTAGGTATAATTCTTAAAAATATTTCCTACATGAATTAAGATGAGAATTAAAGACAGGAATGACATAACTAAAGTGAAACCATCTGTTGTAATAATTAAACAGATAACATTTTCTTGGCTATTTAGTTGACTAAAATATGGTACTACCACTTGAAATTTGCTTCTCCAAGCTAGTTAGTGTTACAAGATTAAGTTGAATTTGAACCTTGATTCCACAAATTTACTTATGCAAACTGAATTCCACTTAGTTAAAAGTTTAATAAAAGTATGAAAGTATGGCAAATTCAATCAAATCTATAGCCATTGGGAGTAAGAACAATGCAAAAGTACTGATGGCACCTAACCCAATAATTGACACATGCAAGTACTCAAAGAGCAGAATAAATATCTTCCAGAAAAAAACAAACATTTTAAATTGCCAAAGCTTAGTTCCAGCTCTACTTCCCATTACCTATATTCATTCATCCAACAAATTTAGCATCTGCTACAAGTAAGGCATGGTTTAGGGACTGGGCAGTGAACAAACTCTCATGGAGTTTACATTTTAGGAGTTAAGAGAAAAAACAATAAAATATGGAAAATTAATGTTGTGGAGGGAAGTAAAACAGGATTGAGAAACAGGGAGTGCTGAAGTCCTATTTTTGTATGTGTGACCAGGGAAGAATTGTGTAAGAACATGAAATTTCAGCAGAAATCTGGGGAGGTAAAGGAATGAGCCATGCATAAAACTGGAAGAAGTGCATTCTATGTGGATGAAACAGTAAGTGCAAACACCCTGAGTAAAGAGTGTGCTTATGTGTTTGTGGGATAGCAGGGAGGCCAATGTAGGGAGCGGGAATGGACATAGACCCTGTGGGATCTTGGGGACCAATGTAAAGATGTTGACTTGTATTCTAAAGCGACATGCAAAGCCACTAGTGTGTACTGAGCAGAGGAGAGATTTGGTGTGCTTTTGTTTCAAATGGGTCAGTGATTCCTATGCAAAAGACATACTGAGTTGACATAAATGAAATCAATAGGAGACTAACTAGTAATTAGGAAGGAAGCACCAATGACTGGAGCCAGTGTAGTAAGAGCAGAGGTGATGGGAAATGATTCTGTATGTAACAGAACTGACAGAATTTACCAAAGGACTGGATATGGGGTATGAGAGGAAGCAGAGCCAGGAATGCCTGTAAGTTTTCTCACCTGGGCAAATGGAAGAATTCATTTACTTAGAATCCTTTCACTGAGATGTGCAACTCATTTAATTCCTGAGCTCCAGTTCCCACCTGTGAAATGGAGACATTCATTCCTGCCTTGTCTACCTCATGAATGTCCACTGTGACAAGGATAAGCTATTTTTATATTGCCAGACAATGATACAGTTTTTATCAGAAAGTTTAAACTATTTTTCATGGGTTATGGCAGGCCTTCTTTCTTAACATCCTAAAGTAAAAACTAATATAAATTAGGTATACAATGAAGGTGTAAGGTTATTCTGGGGAGAATTTCACTCTAGTGCACATTACCTCCTAATTGGGTGGGGGGGGTTGTTGTTTTTTGGTTTTCTCCCCCTTAACTAACATAGTCAGAAAACAGGTCATGGGCAAAACCCCTTAAGGTCTCTTGTTATTATAGTCTACAAAAGGGAAACTTTGGAAATATATTGCAAGGGTGTAAACCTATTAAAAAAAAATTTCAAAGTGACTTTGAGGAACTCTCTTTTTCCCCAAATTTGGAAATCTCATGAAACAGAAAAAGTACAGAGTACAGGACTGGAGGCATGTGAACCCCATCTCTGCCACTCAATACCTATGTGATCTTTGATGAGCTACTTAATATCCTAAGGATCAGTGCTTCATCTATAAAATTAAATATAATAATAGCTACCTACCTACTGGGAGATTGTTATGATAGTTAAAGGGGATAAGGTACATAAAGTGCCTGGAATAGCTTCACTCTTCTGCAATATTTATTGAATGAATGAATGAAAGGTCAGTAATTTTTGGTTTCATTTTCTAACGCCACTGTTTACAATCAACACCATTACCTCCAACTTTCTACATAGGAGAGAATGAAATCCAGTTTCAGAAGGCACCAAAAATTTTCTAGTTACAGAATGAATCAGGCAAGAATATTTAAGAGAACTTTTGGAGAAATTTGTGTAATTGTAAGAAGTTACTGATGCCTAGAAATTGGAAAATTGTAAGATGAGCCCATGATATCCCTATAAGCCTCATGATTCTATAGTAAAATTAGCAAATGGACCATTATCATCAAAGAAAAAAACACCACAGAATTCAATGTTTTCTAAAAAATAGACTCTATATCCAGCATCATGAAAGGTTTCCGTGTAAGAACTCATATGAGTGTTCACACAGGTATCACAAACCCATATTATATCTGCCTGTTTTGACTGTCTTTTCTCTTACAACTAAGCATATTATATAATAGTAATTATGCATTGTGGAGGTCTTTTCCCTGCAAGGTTTGAAAGAAAAAACACAATTCACTATGTGAGTCATTATACAGATAACAAAATATTTCTATTAATGATAACTTTATAAAATTTTAGTGAGAATATTTACCTGAATAATTCTTATCTCTGTTTTCATCAAGCTCAGTACTGGTGGTAGCCACTGTATCAGCCAGTGCTACAAGGAACATCTGCTCCAAGCGGGTAAGGCCTGGTAGACTTGAGTGCATAAGATGACTAGAAAGTACTCTGGCATGTTCCTGGCCAAAGTAAGCTGGTCCATATTGAGAAAGATTTATTACTTTTGATTTGCTTTCTCTCTTTTCTGGCTCTAAATCAATATCATCTGTTGTTATATCCTGGATTTGGAACAGCTCTGAGTACTGATCCTCTGGTTGACTTTCAGCACGATCTTCATAGCTCTGTGGCATTCTGGTACTCTCTTCTGAAATTCTGTAGGATGTATCCTGATCTGCAGCAAGTAATGCATACAGCGGCAGTGGAGGAATGGAATCTATCTCAGTATAATCTCGAGTACCATCTTTTCCTATGGTAACTGTATCCTTTGCTGTACTGCCACTTACACTAATGGTTCTAGAAAGATGTCGCTTAGTTCCTTCTCCAGCATCAGCATCTCTAACTATTGCAACTTCACCTGCAATACATTTTACTAAGTGAGAGAGAATGGCTTTAGCCCTTCGGACTTTCCCTAAATCCATCAATTCTAACAGCTGAGTTGGATGATACTGTGGGAGGGTAGGGGAAAGTACGTGAGCAGCCTCAAATAAACCGCCATCCTGAGCTACAGTTGGTGAATAAAAAACATCATCAACAATAGCTGTCCCTTCAACAATACTTTTTCTTGCCAACGTATTAGATTTAAAGGCAGAATGATCTTGTATTGCTGTCTCTTCTGCACTGGGACTATCAGCTTCAGTGTCTCCAAATTTGACAGCATGCTTCCACTGGGCATATACATGCATTTCACAATCCATTCCCACTACCAATATCCCATCTCTTACCCAAGAGAGAGAAACAGGCAGTGAAGGTGTACCATCAACAGAAGATACCAAATCTATAGATCTAAGAAGAACCCATCTTGACCTAATGCCTTGCTTAATACTACCACCTAGTGGTAAAGTAATGACGGCTACTCCATCCTTACTATTGGTCTGCTCAGTTACAATTCCTGAAAGCCTCCCATACATGAAGATATTAGCACCAACCCCCACTGTGAGGATGTGAGAGCCATCTTCTTTTGACACCCAGTCCAAATGTACTAAATGCTTGATATTTGGAATAAGATATCTATCTTTGCTTAAAAGTGCATCTGACTTGCTATATACAAACAGATTACTGTCAACACTAACCCTTGAATCGAGTACACTCCCAACCTTAACCAAATCATCAAGATGAATCGTTTGTTCTAAAACCCATTCTGACCCTCCAGTAGATTCACATTCAAATATACAAACATGCATAGAAAATTCTTTAGAAACAAAGCCATTGTGGTGGATAGGTTGCTTGTAAGCCACTGCAAGGCGACCTGTGTATGAACAGCTGACAGCAACTGGTCTTCCCACAATGCTCACTGTACTGCTATTGTCCTCCCCTTCATCATTCATCAGGGGCCACTTCTTCCAATGATAGGTTTCTTTCTTATCACTTGTATTACATTGTGGGCTGGTTTCCACACAACATTTCCAGAAGCGTACTTTATTGTCAGAACAAGTTGTAACCACTAAATAAGGTGCAAGGCACACAGGATAAATTGAAGAGGAACTCAGATGGCCTTAAAAAAAGAAAGAGCAGACTGTCATAATAATAATACCACAAAATAATATGCTAATAATCAAATAATGTGATCAATTAAAAGCCACTATGAGTTTCTTCAGAGTAAACTTGCAGTCCTCTCCTAACTAATGTCCTATGTTAAATGTTCACTGCATAAGGTATATATAGAAGTGTTGGAGGGTCCATCAATAAAGTCAAAATATGTGATAATAATTACTTGTTTTTAGAGTATTAAATGGTACAAGCATTTTAAATGGTACAAATATTTCATTAAAATTCAAAAGTAAAGAAACAAGTCAATCCTTAATAATTTATTACTTACCATAATTTATACCTGCATTACCACGTGCCTCACTGGGCTTTCATTCTAAATATTTTATTACTTTCATCACAGACGCTTAAGTGGTCCTTATAATTTGCCCTTCAAAATTCCCTACCCCTAATCCAGACCATAGTTTAACCCTATCATCAATTTTTTGTCAGACTAAAATATTAGTCTTTTATCTTACATTTTCCTCCAAAGTATATGCCAACCCTTGTTCAAATACACTTACTAAAGTCAGATATGATTATCTCATTATGATTATCTCATGATTATCACCATGAATGAAAAGTCTTCATTTTTAAAGAGCTCCAGTTATTCACACATTTTATTTTTTGAAATTTTACCATCATAGTATTCCCAAAGTGTAGACAAAACACCTCACATAAAAATGTTTACATCATTTTCTGTCCAACTGATTACATTTATCCCAAGAAATTATTTATAACAAAGACAGGTTTCTAAAATGATGGATCATTACTAGAAAATATATCAGTGTAGCACATATTTCAAGAATACATCCACTCAAGAATACATCCATTTTATTTCTTGAAACTACACCTGCTCCATCTTAAAAACTCCTTACCTGCTGAAGGTGTTGCTCTTATCACTTCCACTGATTCCGGGAGATCCAGAGGTTGGCTGTACACCAGTCTAGAACTCAGAATAAGTTTACTAGCAGTTTGAAGATTAGCAATTGATGAAGAATGTGGCATGGGACTGACACTAGGGGAAGTTTCTGGAGAAGAGTCCACATTCTTCTGTACAGGGACTGAAAGTAGACTCTCAGATGAAACAATTTCTGAAGCTTTTGCTTTGAAAAGAAATTATGAAATGTATTATTATCACCACTACGCACATGAGCTACAGTGGCATTTTATTATTCTTCAAGAAATATGGCCTTTTAGAAGCAGTTCTACTTCTTAGGAGACAAAGTCAAGTTTCAGACTTTTTTTTTACTCAGTTACCTTGATCAATATACATTTTTAAACTTTCTTACTGCTTAGTTAGCATGATTGACTCCTTCACAGGAATACTGTAAGGGAAAAACCGTAACATGTCATAGCTAGAAAGAAACCTTTAGTTATGTAGTCCAGTGATCTTAACCTTTAAAACAAATTAAAAGCTTGAGGAATGTGTTAACGTACAAATTCCCAGGCAGAAACCCAGAGGCACCAATTACATTGATTTGGGATAGAACCCAGAAATCTCCACTTTTAATAACCAGACAAGATGTTTCTGAAACACATGAGTTAGGAGTCAAACTTTGAGAAATAACAATGTGCTGCCTCAGATGAAGAAATTTAAACTTGCAGAGTTCAGTGATTTTCTTAGGGTCATACAATTAGCTAGCAGCAAAGAAGCTCCTGCAATGCCATCCTCTTGACTATCAAGTACTTAAGGTAATTTCAGGAACAAATATAAAAAATAAGAGTTTCAAACAGATTTAAGACAGTATCAGCTAACTGGCTTTGTAAAGCATGTTACCCTTAATTATCCTCCAAAAAAAGATCAGTTATTGGTGCTTCTGTTACAGATGAGGGATACTTCACATTACTTTGTATGTCTGTCTCTCCCCATTCCACTACAATTTCATCAATGTTAGGGATGATCTCTTACTATTTTGGATATCTCAAGAAACACCAGGATGCCCAAGACAATAAAACAAGCAATCTTCTTTTGTTTCTGGTGAATCTTAAACATGTCCATCTACCTTATTACGAGAGCATTTTTCACAAAATGGATTTAAGATTACAGACATGCACCAGTTGTCAGAAAATAAAAGAGTCCTAATCCTGGTTCTATAGCTAAGCGAATGTATTTCCTTAAGCAAAGCACTTCACCATCTCTGGCTATTTTCTCATCTGCAAAATGAAGTTGAGCTATATTATTTCTCTTCTTATAAACTAAACAATTGTCTAATATATATCTTGTGCTAAGAAAGAAAATAGGGACAGGAAAAAAACAAAGACTATAGAGCTTGATTTTGAAACTTGGTTCTATAATGATGTATATAATGAATGGAACTTGGTTAAGTTACTTAACCTTACTCCATTAGTAAACAGGAGATAATACCTATCTCACATGTCTCAATACCTGGCATCCAGAAAGTTAAGTATTCAACACATTTCCTTCCCCACCTAAATATTGGCAGTCATTTTGTCCTCTGACAGGACATTCAACACACTGGTAAATTCAGGTGTTAGCTGCAAATGGCACTATACACTATGTTAAAACTGCAGCAAACAGCAGAACCATGAAATAGAGGCTTCCTGTCATAGTTGAGGTGGGCATATTATTGGTTTGCTTCTACCACAATCTTTTCTGTGACCTACTGCTGTCAAAAACACAGTAGGCAAGCAACTCCACCACTAGCTCTGCTTTAAGGAAATAGCAGTGGGACACTCCCCTCACAGGCAATGGACACTTCTTACCCCATCACAAAGGTCTGTCACTGCCTCTACTAATTTCCTCAATTCCATCCCTGGCTCTGTGACCAATTCTAGAAAACACCGTATTCTCTGATGGGTTAAGAATTTCTCCCTGACAAGTTGTTTGGCTTTCCTTACTCTTGTCTTTCTGTGAAGCAACATACAATAACAAAACCCAACTCAAAATGCTTTGAAAAAAATTTTTTGAATTCCTGGTGCCTCCAGAAGATTAGGCTCAACTGGCACAGAAAAAGGTTCTATTAACTCATTCGTTTTTTTCTAGTGCCATTTCATAACTCAGAAGTTATTTGGTAATGTAACAATACTAAAGGAACTAAAAAATACATTATTGTTGGTTCTCTATATTAAATGTTTAATGTGTAAAAAACTGATTAATTGCCAGAAATAATAAAATCTTTTTACAACTCTCTTAAATATTTTGAATTAGCTAGTTTAAAGTAGATTCAGTCTGGCAAAGAAATGACAAATGTCTAAGGTGACAGAAATGCCAGTTACCCTGATTTCATCATTACATATTATATCCATCCACTAAAATGTTATACTGTACCCCATAAATATATCTAATTGCCATGTATCAATTAAAAATACAAACATACTCTTTAAAATACAATAAATAAATCTTATTCAAAAAAGTAGATTCGGTTTGATATGAGTATGCATGCAGTTCTTCATTATAACAATTATCTCTCAAAGGTTTTGTTTTTTAGTTGTTTTTTTTTTTTAATGGCACTGGGGTTTTAAACTCAGGGCCTCATGCTTGCTAGGCAGGCACTCTATCACTTCAGCCATTTCACTCCTCCAGCCCCCCCTTTTTTAACAAAAGATCTGAGCTGGAGGTATAGCTCAATGGCACAGCGCTTGCCTAGGTACATGGACCTGGGGTGTGATTCCCCAGACCACCAAAAAGCCATTTTGCTTATAAGTTTCAGATGCTCCATCATATTTTAGCAAATAGCAACTCTGTTTCTCTTAGTGATGCTCAAGCTAATGCACATTGTATCAATGGCAATGTGCATTCATCAACAAAAAGCACGATGGTACTTCTGTGGACAGAGCTGATTCACAGACACAGCACTGAGAAAGAGAATCATAACAGACATTCAAGAAACATGAATGAACCAGGCACTGGTGGCTCACGCCTGTAATCCTAGCTACTTGGGAGACAGAGATCGGGGAATCAAGGTCCAAAGCAGCCGAGGGAAATAAGTTTGTGAGACCCTATCTCAAAAATATGCACCAGAAAAATGGCTGGCAGAGTGGCTCAAGTGGTAGGGCACCTGCCTAGCAAGTTTGAGGTCCAGAGTTCAAACCCTGGTACTACAAAAAAAAAGAAAGAAAAGAAACATTTTTTTAAAATAAATCAATTAAGCTTTTTTTAAAAAAAAATTTCTACCCATAGGCAAGTTTGTTTTCAGATTAGCTTGTTTCATTAATGATTTATGACCCCATAATTAAAAATTTGGTAGAACACAGGTGTGGTAGCACACACCTTATAATTCCAGCACTCAAGAGGCTAAGGTAATAGGAGCTTGAGTCTGAAGTCAGCCTGGGTTACACAGCAAGATCTTGTCTCAAAAATAAATAAATGTTTGGCAGAGACATTTCAATTTAGCAACTCCATTTATAGTTGATCAGAACTTCATTCTAAAGAATCAACCAACCTAAAGCATATTCTGTAAACTGAATTTGTTTCAGATCATCTTTGTATAAAATCATAATATAATTACTTACCTAAACATGCTTGTACTGATTTAAGATGAAGGTGCCACATATGGAGAATAGAGTAATTGTTGCTGTCCTTTTCAATTACTACCAGAAAGAACTTTTCTGAAAATGGTGGTGGTCGATATCCTATTGTTCAAAGGGAAAGTATAAGTAATGTGTTACTACAGGGTTAGAAAAACATGTTTTAAAAGCTAAAAACAACTCTTAGTTACATAGAAGTTGGAAAGAAAGGGGGATGGATTCGGTGGTTTGAATATGGTGTGTCTCCTCAAAACTCACCAGGGTGAACCAGATGTCAGTGGTTCACACCTGTAATCCTAGCTACTTAGCAGGCAGAGATCAGGAGGATGGTGGTTCAAAGCCAGTCCGGGCTAATAGCTGGAGAGCCCTTATCTTGACAATACCCAACACAAAAAGGGCTGACAGAATGGCTCAAGTGGTAGAGCACTAGCAAGTTTGAGGCCCTGAGTTCAAACCCTAGTGCCACCAAAACAAAACAAACAAAAAAACTCGTGTTGCAATTTAATTCCCATTGTGAGGGATTAAGAATAAGGCCTCCATGACTGATACTGGTGACTTTATAAGAAGAGGGGGAAAAACCAGGGGGGTCACATGCGTGCACTCTCTATCTCTCTTCATGTGATGCCCTGGTTGCCTCAGAACTCTGCCATCAAGGAGGCTATCATCACACATAGCTTCTCAATGTTGGACCAAAATCACAGAGCAAAATAAACTTCTTCTCTTCATAATTTACACAATCTATGGTGTTGTGCTATTAGCATGAGAAAACAAACTAATACAGGAAAGAATAGGTTTTTTTAGGATGGTTTTTACACAATTTCTATGCTAACAGCTAGGTAACTAGCAAAGACTAATGGAACTATGACAAAGATACACAAAGAGAAACCAAGGTAGCACAATCAAGCATTGAAAACCAAAACTGAAAGAGAGAGAAGAGACAGACAGACAGACATTGGGGCATAATTTTCCTCATTGACAATTATACTCCTTATATATAAAAATGAAATCTACACAGGACAATAAAAACTTTCTTTAAAAAATGAAAACTTGTATTATAGGGCAAGAGCTGTGACTCAAGTGATGAGTACCCGCCCAGCACGTGTAAGGCTCTGAGTTCAAATACCAGTACCAGAATGAAAAACAAAAAATCATTTGCCCTGATTTACCAGAGTCATAAGAAATATCAAGAGAGAATAAATTATCTGGAAGTCTTTGATAATCAAAAAAGGTTTTCATTATAGAAAATTAATTCTTAAAAGTAGGGCATATCTTTTCATTTCAATAGAACATGACAATTTTATAGCTACATGATTACAGTTTCAAAAAGAAACATTTTAAGCTAAATTATAAAGTTGAATCTAAGATCATATTGTTTGTTTTTGAAAGGTCTTATGGAAAAACTACTTTCTTTCACAAAAAGAAAAAATCAATACCACATTTCAGAGAGGAAAACTGTGGGATGATACCTTTCACTTACAATGTCCAAGACGTTTCTAGTGAAACACAAAACAGACACACACATCTTACTTCCTGTATTCATCATTGGTCTGTAGTAATTTACTGGGAACTTTTTTTAACCTCTACTAAAATTAAATGGTCTACTTAAGATCCCACAGGGAACTTAGAACCTATCAAAATAACTAATTATAGCATTGAATAAAGTTACTTCTCAAAACAAAATGTTTCATAAATACTCTTTCTTGGCAAAAGTCTATGTTGCCAGTGACATGTCTTTTAAAATGTAATTTTCACCCATCTGCCTCCTTCATCTACAAAAGCTTTGATGGGATTAACTAATGCATCTGACAAAAGTTATGAGTGATGACTCCAGAATAGTCATACTTGAAAACCTGGGGAAAAAAAAGGTTTTTAAGAGTAAAGCAAACTCAGGCTCATTAAAAAGTACCTTGTGAAGGCTGAAAAAATATTTCTGTTTCCTTTTTCTCCAGATCTTCCTTATGTGGTTTATATCCTATAATGAAGTCTTCTTGAAACACATGAAGCAACTGTGTATTTGAACCACACTACAAATATGAAAAAAATAAGTTTTTATCTTTGAAATTTCCTATCTCCCACTTACTACCTCCCCATTACTTAGAAGAAATTTAACAATTTCTATTAATCTTGACTAATTAAGTCTACTTAAGAGAAAAGAAAAGAGCAGAAAAAAATGATTAAAACTGGACTGGGCAGATGCCCCACGACTGATGAGTGGATTAAGAAAAGTGTGGTATATATACACAATGGAGTTTTATTCAGCCATAAAGAAGGATGAAATTATGTTGTTTGCAGGTAAATGGATGGAACTGGAGAACTTCAGGTTAAATGAAGTAACCCAGGCTCAAAAGTCAAAGGTTGTGTGTTGTCCCTCATGTGTGGAAGCTAGACCTGTAAGTCAAATGTATATATAGATACATATATGATCATATATATATATCTGTGTGTATGTACACACATACATACATATCTATAGTGAGAGAGAGAACAAACCATATTAATGAGCCTCTCTAAAGGGTCTACAGGAGGCAGGAGAGGTAACGAAAATATTAGAGAATGAAAAATACTGAAACAGTTCATCTATATATGAATATAATATAACGTACTATAGCATAAACTGTTGAATATTAGGGGAGCATGGTGATCAGAGAATGAGTAAGTAATGGGGAGGAGGTAAATTTGATTAAAGCACAATATACACAGGCCTGAAGTATCCAGGTGAAACCTCCTTGGACTATCAATATACACTTTAAAAAAATGAAGACCAGGAGGGAAAAACATCTTTTCCTGGGGTGGGTACCTCTAGGAGATTCGTAGGTACAAGGAAAGGGGGAATGAAGGTGAATATGGTGGGTGTATTTTGTATTCATATATGAAAACAGACGAATGAACCCTGAAATTGTTCCAAGAAGGGGAGAGGAGAAAGAGGGAGAACAATGGAAGGGGTAAATCTAACTAAGATATATTGTAAACACATATGTAAATATTATAATGTATCCCCCTGTACAACTATTATATGCTAATAAATGTTTTTTTAAAAAACTGGGCTAGGGTGTGGCTCAAGTGGTAGAGTGCCTGCCTACCAAACTTAAGGCCCTAAGTTCAGAACCACAAAGGTCAGGTGAAACACAAGGAAAAAAGCTAGATCCAAACAAAAGTTTATGCAAGTGTGTCAAGATAGTTAGATGGCTGCCTCACAGATTTTAAGAAAATTAAGTAGCTGTGATTATCTTGGCAATGGATAAATAGACTATAGTCTTAGAGAACAAAGTCAGCCTCTTTATATAGAAGGCAATAAAAGAAGTAGGTTAAGCCACAGAATTTTTATGAGAGTTATAAGGGTATTTTTAACATCTCTCCAGGTGGAAACATAAAAAAACTCTATAAATTTATACTATAGAAGGTCATTTCCTCAAGGGAAAAAGAACAAATGAAAGAAAATAGAAAGAGTGATGGATATAGAAATCAGAGAACACGGCTGGGCATGGTGGTGCATACTTATAATCTCAGCACTCAGGAGGCTGAGACAGAAAGATCATGGTTTCAAGGCCATTATGGGCTACACAGCAAGATTCTGTCTCACAAAACCAAAAAAGAAAACAACACAAAATAAAGAAATCAGAGAACACACTGGGAAAACCTAAAATGAGCTTAAAATAGCCACAAGTATATGGGTGTGTAGGGGAATCTGGAGTATGAAGTAAAAAATGCAATGGTAACGAGTGCAGAAGGAGCCAAAGTAGTGATGAACTTAACGTTCAGTCCATTAAAAATTAAGGTATCTATGGAAAAGTGCCCTACCCACTCTTCTTTCAGATCCTTATGGAGCAGAAAAAAGAAATCACAAGTCGAATTTAAGGCAGAAGCATGGAGCTTGGGGATTAAAAATTTTTAAATTTCCTAGGGGCATTAATAATTTGAGTCTGGCAGCCCTACTTCTATTACCAAGAAATGATGTGGTAATTTTTCTACATTAGTGGAAATGACTACATTCTGCCCAACAGTGTGTGCAAGACACCATGGAAAAATATTACATAACCCTATACTTGTTTTTAAATATAGTCAGCTCTTTCTTCATTTCCTTGCTTTAACAATGTGGTTACTTCCTCAAAGTAATCTTTTTTTACAAAAATGATTATGTTAATTCTATCCCTTGGTCCACAAATATGATCCTGAATAAACAAATCTCCTGAGGGCTAACTGGGTTTTATAAACCCCCCATAGAGAGAAGGGATCTCCTCCTTTCCTAGGTAGTAGCTAGGGAGTAATTCTGGCCACATGAAGGACTGTCATTAGGAAGTAAATGTTTACTGGAATGCTACTTTCATCTGCATTTTAATGGACCTCATAAAAATACCCAAGTGAGGCCTACATAAGCAACCACTATTCAACTGAGGTCACCCTGAGTTGCAATGAGTAACAACATAAAATGAGAAACCTCAGTTCCAGCCCCTGTGCAGCTGCACTGGTTTCTTCCTCAGCGTTTCAAAAACGGGGTCATAACTTCCCTGATTCAATCAAATTTCTTTAAATGAGAAGTAAGGTCACAGATAAAATTTGGCTGGAGAATAATTCCTAAACTATTAGATTTTCACTATCGAAATTAACTGTGTTGGCTGTGTTTAGTGTCAAGCAAGAATTATTCTGAGACTGAAATATATCATATGCATATAAAACATGTGGGGATAAAGTATATATATACATTAATATCACCAATTCACAAGCATGTTTTTACTTGGTCAGTAATTGCATCAAGTTCAATAATGCATCCAGGTCGAGCTGTAGACTGTTGGCTCACAATGTTAAACACTTCCCCAATAAGTTTCTGTAAATAAAAAAAAAATACAAAACATTAACAATCAAGAAATTTACAAATCTACTGTCTATATGATACAGCATCTTGGACATTAAAGGCCCCCTTAATTATTCAGCAATTGACAATAGCAATTAATACATTCAAAGAAATATTTCAACTTTCTACATTCATTCTCATTTTTAAAATTCACTAAGAAGTTAGAAAAATTGGCAATGTTTACATAAATACTACCTAACTTCAAGGTATCTAGTTGTTTTAACATGTATGTCTTCTTCATTTTTGCAAGTTAAAGTGCAAGACAGACAAGGCCTGTGTGTGATGTGCAATACCATCTTAAAGCACAACTGTGCCAGACCAAATGCAGGGGTCACGATTGAGAAGTGGGGCCTGGAGGCATGGCTCAAGTGTTACAGTGCTTGCCCAGCAAGCACAAGGCCCTGAGTTTAAACTCAAGTACTGAGGAGAGGAAAGGAGAGAGCAAAGGAGGAGATGGGACAGGGAAGGAGAGGAGAGGGGAGGGGGAAAGAGGAGGAAAAACTTTTCCATAATTGCATCTGAAGGATCTGCTTCAGGAAGACATACCTATTCCCCTCAGCACCCATATCTACTACTTTTCACTACCCCAAGGCCACAACGAGGCTGAGATCCCAGCTTAGTCTTAGGGAAGGGAACAAAGCCTTAGCCTTCCTCTGAAAGGTAACAGAATCTACCTGGAATTGTAGAATCTTTCCAATTTGTATCAGTAATATTCCAGAGAACACGAATGGAAATAGAGTCTAAGATTATTAGATCAAGATAGACAAAATAAGTGGTGTATAGGACTGAATTTATTGATATAGGTACATTCACCCACGATTCAGGATTTAAAGTGCTAACTTAAACATCTACAAGTAGTGCCAACAGTCTTTAACAATCATTGATGCTTAGGTCCTAGTCACATGGTACAATCTAATCATGAGGAGTTTTTTAAGCTCCTTAGATAAGAATCCTTCACTAGAATGGATACAAATTCCAATTACAATATGCAACTGTTGCTGTCCCTGGCCACAACTCCCTGCCAGCACCATATAACCAATGGACTTAAGCAATTTTTAAGATAGGGTGCAAAATTAACGCAAAAAAATCCATAAAAAACAAAATATCAAAAATTTAAACTATATTATAATTCCATCTACTTGGGAGACAGAGATTGGAAGGATCCAGGTCTGAGGCCTGCCCCAAGAGAAAAAAAAAAAAAATAAGACCTTCCTGAAAAAAGCAAAAGGGCTGGGTGTGGCTCAAGAGATAGTGTCTTCTCTAGCAAGTCAAGAGTCCCAGAAGCAAACCCTAGTACCACAAAAGAAAAAATATATATATATAATAGCATCCAATAGTACCTCAATAGCCTAAAAGATCAAAACAGGATTAATTATAATTCAACTTTCCTGGCTTTAATGGAAGTGAATTCATCAATAATATTTTCAAAATCTACTTCTCTGCTTGTTTTTAGTAAAAAGAATTGCCTTGCTTAGTAATGTCTCTTAGCCATGCAGTAATCTTAAGTAATTTTTAATTAACAGCTTAATGAAACTCATATAGGATGACATTTTGGCTAATAGTTTAAAAAAATTACCAAGTCCACTTCACAATTTGGATAGGCTTGCACTAAGCAAAACTTAAGATCCAAACAGAATGTTGATTTTATGCTACAAATTGTCAATACTGCATGCTACTTCAAACCACTTCAGATGGAACTGTTGCAGGACTTAAACTGTCATTACTTAACTGTCAAGTAATCATGGTTTTTGTAAACCAGATATATCTATATAATGAAACTTTTCACCACTTAAAAATTCGAAGTCTAAAGATACCTCAGGGTTTGTTGTTTGTGGATTTTTTTGTTGTTTTTGGGTTTGGGGGTTTTTTTTGCAGCACTAGAGCTTAAACTCAAGACCTCGTGCTTGCTGGGTAAACGCTCTACTACTTGTTTGTTTTTTTAGATAGGGTCTTATGCTACCACCAAGCCTGGCTTGTTTTTTGAGACAAGGCCTCACTAACTTTTGACTGGGGCTGGCCACAAACCTTGATCCTCCTATTTCTACCTCTCAAGTAGCTGGAATTACAGAAGCAAGCCACCACACATGGTCCTTAATTTTTCATATCGCTATTTTAAGTGTGATTTTTAAGTCTACTGTAGTAATCAGAATAAAGTGCCCACTCCCTAGGATGTCCATATTCTAATTCCTAAGACCTGCCAAGATGTTACCTCCACTGACAAAACACACTTTTGTAGGTATGAATAAATTCAGAATCTTAAGATGAGATCATTCTGAATTATCCAGGTGGGCCCAGTGTAGTCAGGGTTCTTATGAGTGAGGAAGGGGAGTCAGATTCTGAGAAAGAGATGTGACAACAGACGCAGAGGTCAGAGACAGAAACTTGAAAATGCTATGTTCCTGCTTTAAAGATGGAGGAAGAGGCCAGAAGCTAAGAATCACAGGTGGCCTCTGGAACCCAGTGGAGAAAGGAAAAGGGTTTTCCCTAGAGCTCTGGAGGGAGTACAGTCCTGCCAGCACTTTGATTTAAAACCTGTGATCTACAAAGCTCCAAGATAATGTCTATGTTAAGATACAGAGTTTGTGGAAATTCATGTGGAAACAGTAAGAAAATAATACAGATGCCTATACTCTCCTTCATTTTTATTTGGTATACACTTTTCCCCATATTACATCTAGTAATTTGTATATTTCCAATCTTTTCCAATTTTTTAAGTCTCACTTTCAAGCTCATGAATTATATTCATAACTCTTTCTAAAGTTTTACATTCATCAAATATAATTTCCAAGTTACTTTTTCTCATGTGCTGTAACTTCCAACTCTCAACAGAAAATGAGTTAAACAAAGAAAATGCATTCTGATAAAATTATAGAAGAGTTTGCTTCCATTAAAGCCAGGAAATTAAAATCATAATATATACTATTTTTGGTATAACATATTTAAACCTATAATACTATTGGAAGCTTTAATATACTTTTCAATTTCCAGTATTTTAATGTTTGAATATTCTGGGAAAAAATATCAACTGAAAAAATACCAAAACATGTCAATACAAGTGTATTTCTTCCTTTTGTCTCAGGATCCAATACAGCTTGCCATGGCACTATTGGAGCCTCTCTATTTAAAATATTTGGAGGCTGAGCACCCAGCCCCCAACATCAGGGTGGTATACTCCTATAATCCCAGCTGCATGGGAGGCAGACAGGAGGATCATGATGGGCCCAGGCGAAAGTTAGCAAGACCCCCATCTCAACAAACAAGCTGGGGGCATGGTGGCACACACCTATAATCCTAGCTACTCAGGAAGCAGAGGCAGAAGAATTGTGTTTGAGCTCGCTCCTTTATTCCCAGCTACATGCAAAGTTAGCAAGAAACCCTATCTGAAAAAATAAAGTAAAAGCAAGCGACTGGGGCATGCATGGTTCAAGTGGTAGAGCACTTGCCTGGCACATGAAGTCTTGAGTTCAATCCTTAGTACAACAAAAATGCTGCTTTCAAAAAGATATTGAAAAGTTGATCTGTGCTGGGCATGGTGGTGCATGCCTGTAATTCAGCATTCCAGAAACTGAGGCAAGAGGATCTCAAGTTCAAAGTTAACCTGGGCTACATAGCAAGACCCCACCAAGTGGCAGAGTGTTTGCCTAGCAAGTACAAGACCTCAATTCAAAACCCTAGTACCATCAAAAACAATCAATCACCAGGAAGGAGGTGTGGCTTAGTGATAAAGCACCTGCCTAACAAGTACAAGACCCTGAGTTTAAACCTCAGTACTGCCAAAATTTAAGGGGAAAAAAATGCTCAAATGATCTGATAAAATAACCACTTGAAAAAAAACAAACAAAAAAGTTGGACTGTTAATGTTGAGCTTGGTAAGACAAAACGTAGGGAAAACAGGCCTACATTTGGGCCCCAAACTCAAATACACAAACACAGAATGGAAAAGACATGTCTTTGGGGTATTTAATTGAGAGTCAGCTCAATATGTATTAATTACATACTAAGAATGTGGACTGCATGCCAAACATAGCAATATCTAAATGAGAGAGGCCATAATAGTGCTATATTCTAATAACCCTACAATGCCTGAACACAGACAAACTGAAGCCTGCTAAGAAGAACAGCCAAGATCAAATGTAAAACAGTAAAACTGATGGGTAGAGGAGGAGCAGGTGTGGCCTGAGCAAAAAAGGTTCATAGGTTACAAGATAGATGTCTTCAAGTATGTGAGGTACTTTCATAAGCAAGTAATATTAGACCTCTTCTAAATGGAACTAGATCTAACAAGTACAATTTGTGCAAAACAATCAATTTCAAGTTTAATAGTGAAAGTAACTCAAAGACAAAAAAACCCACTTAGAGTTGGGTTTCTCTCATTAGTGGACAGATGATAAATTGGCAGCAACATAGTAGAGGAGAAAAAAGTATCAGATGGTTTCTAGACTTTTCTCTCATCCAACTTCTACTCAGGCCCAACCCTGCTTAGCTTCTAAGAACAGGGTAAGATAGTCCAAGGCTTTCTCCATGCCAAACCTTTGGCTCCAGCCCAAATGGTTTCTCACTATCATTGGACCAAGATTTATGCATATATCTTCCTGTATCCACACTTACTTTCAGGCCACTCTCCCACTCAGGCAAAGACAAGGTATCATGGTTCTAAATCTTACCTAATCATCAAGAATAAGCCAAAATATGGTCTTTAATAAAGGCTTCTATCCCTACCCTAATCTGGTATCTCTCTCTTCTCTAAATTTCAAAACACTTTAAGTGCTATGCTTTTGGCGATTAATTATATAACACCCTTAGATACTTTCTCTTCTAATTTCTACACTAAGTTAAAAGCTTCTTAAAGGCAGACACTAAAGCTTGTATATACACCCTCCACACATCTAGGGGTACACAGATAACTCAAAAACAGTATTTGGTGTTCAATACTGGGAGCGTGTTTATTACAACAGCTGTTTTATAAAGGTATGTTTTCATAGGTAAATGAAAAATTCACTTCTCAAATCTACATATTAACTATATTATGATTATATAGTGTATAATATATACTTTATATATTATGTATATATTTGTATATTATATATGTTTGTTTATATATATAAACGAGTTCCAGTTCAGCTATAGAACCACCAAAATGAGACAATGCTACCACTGATAACATATTCTAGCCAAAAGATTTTTTAATAGGGGAATGGAGTTTGGAAAAGTTCCAATTTTCCAATGTAAACATATAGTTTGTAAAGATGCCTTAAAACCTTTTTTGAGTAAAGCAAAATTAAAAGAGCCAAACTAGAGGTCAGAAATGTGAAGAATAACAGTTTAGAGAAAAGACATATTTGTTCCTTTATATGTTAAATACAATGAAATTTTAATTCATGTACCTTGGAATGCAAATTAATAAAAACAACTGTCATATGCATGTCACCTACAGCCAAGAAGATATTCTCTCTCCCTAAAAACCAACAAACAAATAAAGTTCCTAGCAAAGTGAAAAAGAGAATACCATATCCACTTAGACAGATTACTAAAAATTAACAAACACTTACTGAAGCTTCTGGGTCTGACAGTTCATCCAGTAGTTTTCTTGCATCTACCACAGCTTGATAGAGTCTAAGATTTTTGCCATCAGATGCAACAAAGCAAGCACTTGCAGAATTGCAATATGTGCCTGAGAAAGGAAAGGAAAGGTTCTGTTTGGGTTATAATGAGTGGCTTGTTTTTATTACTGGATGAAGTATGAGAAACAAATTCTCACACTTTCTTTTTAGACAGAATTATGGTCCCGAGTCACAATTAAACAGATACAATCAATGGATATAAAATTATTAACCAAAATTTTAGAAAAATATATTACAAAAAGATAAAAAACAAACTTAAAAATGCTAAAAGCCTAGTGCCTACATTTTGAATACCTAATAATGACAAATATAAACCATTTTGCGTATAACAAGTAACAGCTGAAAAGCTTTTATTAATTTCATGGTTAAAATGAACACTTACCAAGACAATAACTGGGAATAAGTGTTGGAAGCCATGCCACATTAGAGAAGGCTGAAGTATGTAAAGAGTTAATTCGAGCCAGTTCTGACACTCCTCCAGTGTATGACAAAGGTCCTATTGGGTCTACACGCCACAGAATAAGTTCACTGTAGATTGCATTTGGGTCATGAAATGTACGAGTTGCTGCATTTCTAAGAGGTTGTTTCGACAAACCTTTCATATGTTTTACAGGATCTATTAATTTACTTAATTTACTGTCTGAGTCCCACTGATTTGATTCAGGAGTCAACAGAGCATTATGATGGGAGGATGTCAATAACAGTGGTAAAACTGAATGACATGCCAAGTCATTGAGGTGAAATCGGTGGCCACAGTATCTAAATTTGTGGGATACGGTTAGAACAGTGGTAAAGGCAGACTTATCAGCAAAAGTGACTGCCCACTGATTTAAAGACCCATCTATGTGTTTAGAGACCATCATGACCGTGGGAGCTAAAATGTTCACATTTGTACTATGTGATTGAGAATGTGGCTGTGATACAGGAGGACTGTCTACAGGAGTCAGTTCCTGGTGTAATGGGGTGTGGTGGGAATCTTTCGTAGCATTTATACAGGCATACATCATGATATTTTTACTAAGAGAGCTTGCATCACCAGACGGAAATGCAACAGGAATCCGAGAAGAAAAAGAAACCTGAAAAATATAAATATATGACTCAGTGTAAGGAGTTTGCCTTCTCTCACAAAGTCTTCCAAAAACACTTCTATTCTCAAATGCCAACTCTCAGCTTCCTAGCAAAAAATATCCCTTTCAACCTCTTTATGGTCCTTTATCTATATAATATCATATCATATGGAAGAAAGTAAAAGTTTCCAATGCCTTGCTCTAATATCAAAATGACCAGAATCACACATCTAAATTGCAATAAAGTTGAGAAAGACAACAGATAAAAGCACACTAACTTCTCTAACAAAACTAGAGAGGAAGAGGGGCTCATCCTGAACCATATTTCTTAATTTTAGTTTCTTAATTTTATTCAAAATATTGTAAATTTCCAGAAAAAAATAAACATATTTGTAGTCAAAAAATCAGTATTGCCAAAAAATAAAAAAATAAGAAGCCAAAACCCATTTTCTTTGAACAAACTAGGTTTGCAAAATGTATGGTTACTGACAATCTTTGGAAGCAAAAATAAGTATTCTTTCTCAGGTGCTTATCAAAAGCAGTATTTCTTAGTAATTCTGAAAGCCTACAAAGTCTACATAGCATCTCTTTCTCCTTTTTAAGAAATGTAATAATCATTTCAACAAGAAAATATACCTGGACTTGTCTAAATATCCCAGGATTGTATTCATCCAAATACTTTACATGCCACACTAGAAAGGTGCCATCCACAGGATGTATTGTGAAAAGCATGTCAGGATTCTTATTCCACTCTGTTAGCAGCATTTCAATCTTCCGATCAAGCAGGACTGTGGGCAGTGGCACTGGGAGGCTAGGTTGTGAGATGGTCCTAGGGCTTCCCTCTCTTTCTCCATCTTCATGTTCTGATGATCCTGTACCTGCTTCAGATTCTCTATCCAAGGATAATTCTGACCCAGAAAATATATTTATTAGAGTATGTATTAAATAACACTATAAAAATTCCTTTAGAAACTATAAATCCCTTTTCCAGTTTCTGAACAGGAAAACTATTTTCTTGTCTGAATTGAAAATTATTATATTAGTCTTAAATAAAAACTCCATTCACATTATCATTATCACAATTAGCAAATGCTATTTTCCCAAAAAAGGACATGACCTCCGAAGTAATATGTTACTCAAAGCAAAATGCTGAAACAAAACAAATAAGAGTTCACCAGACATGAGGCACACATCTATAATCCCAGTGACTAAAGAGAGTGAGGCAGGAGAATCTCAAATTCAAGTCCAGTCTGGACAACTTAGTGAAACCTGTCTCAAAGTAAGATGAAAAGGGCTGGGGATGTAGCTCAGTATAGAACACTTGGCTAGTATGCATGAGACCCTAGGAATGATCCCCAGCACCACAAAACAGAACAATTTTATAGAGTTAGATGGTGTTTGCAGGGCATAGTACATTGCCTGATCTGTGACAGATGACCAGAACTTAGGGAATAAATAAAAAAGTAAAAAGGAGAAAGAACAAGAAGGAAAATTTTCAACCTAAAAAAGACACCAGAGAGTTATCTTTAGAGAAAAAAATCTGAACATGGATACTAACCATGGTCTAGCTTCATATATAAACCCCTCTCTCTTTCCTCCTGTGAACGTTCTTCGTCTTCTCTATCTACATCATCACTTTCGTGATCTAAATGTTTCTCAGAAATTTTTCGTAACTGATGCATAAATATTTCAGCTGATGATGTAAAATGAAATTCCTTGTTGTTTAACCAGTGAACTACAAATCCTCCATTTCCATCATCAATGTTAAATGCAGTGCCAACCAGGGCATTTGGAATATCTGTAAAAACAAAACACAAAGATTTTGATATGATTTTTTAAATTTCTTTAAAAATATAACAAGTGCTTATAATGACTAATTCTTTTCTTATACAGACAAGGTGCTAACCAAGACATGATTCTAGCAGAATTTATAAAAACCTTAACTGAATCTAATCTTAAATATAAATATTAAGAACTAATGGCAAACTTACAAGAAACTGAATTACAATATTAATTTAAAAACCAAATACACCAGTGCATAAACCTTAATTGAATCCTGGTTGGATTTGGGTACAGGGAGTTGGAAAGATAAAGCAGAAATGCAGCTATAACAAAGATAACTAACTGGAAAAGTTTAATATGAACTGGATATTAGATGCTATGGGACTACCTAACAATTTTCTTAGGCATGATAATGATAATGTGATTATGTGAGGAAATTTCCTTATTCTTAGACGAGGTATTTGCTGAGGCATTAAGGATGAGGTGCCATGATTTGTGCAACTTAGTTTGAAAAGATTAAGAAAAAGTTTCAATCATACGTTATGCACATGAACACCTGCACACACACAGGTATAGAGAGAGAATGAAGCAACCATGTAAAATGTTAACTGTTGAATCTAAGTGGAGGATATAAAAGTTTTCACTGTTTTATTCTTCTAACTTTTTTGAATTTCTGAAACTTTCCTACAAAGTTGGGGCTAGATAATGCCAAGAAAGAACACAATAAACCAGGCAAACATCTAAGTACAGCAGAATGTCTCCACTGAGTGAATTTTAGCAAATCATGATACAGAATAGTTCGTGGTGGTGCATGCTTATAATCCCAGAACGAGGGAGGCTGAGGCAGGAGAATCACAAGATCAAGGGCATAGCTACCTAGCAAATTCCAATTCAGTCTGGGCTACATAGTAAGACTTTGTCTCAAAAAAAAAAAAATGCAGGAATTATCTCAGTGGAAGAGCAGTTGCCTAGCATGTGAAGTCTTGCATTCAATCTCTAATACTTAAAAAAAAAAAAAAAAAGCATAAGCCAAAAAATTAATTTTAATCCATATTATGAATAATTCATTCAAGAGAAAGAAAAAAGTTATCCCTTGGAAGAAGTGAAAATCTAAAGATGAAATGTCGTAAGTAGTAGTCTATAATAAATACCAATGTTTGATGTTATAAATTATTTTTTTCCAGTTCCTGAATGACAGTCCTGGCTTAATGATAATAATTAAATAAATAAGATTTGTAAATTAACAATCCTATAAAGCACTACATCACCTATGTACCTATGTATTATTCTTGCTAAAAGTGTTGAACCTAAATTTTTATGATAGACAAATTTTCAAAACTGCAAAACATCCTAAAAGATAACTAAAAATATTTTGAGACCCAGAGATTTTTTTTTTTCTTTAACAATTGCAGGGTGGAGACTGCTCTGGATTAGAGGAGTTTAAAGAAAAATGACAATCAAATTCGTTTTTTAAAACTGTTTGGATACGAATTATATATTACATACTATCCCCATTCACACACAATAATAGTATTGTGGCTATGGAAAGCAATCCCCTTTTTGTTAAGAAATACATCCTGAAACATTTGGGTAATACTGTAAAGCTTTGCTGGCGGCATGGCTCAAGTGACAGAGCATTTGCATACCACCCGCAAGGCCCTGATTCAAACCCGGTACAGCCAAAAACTAAAGTAATAACAATAATGATAATAATATTATAAAATAACGAAGAGGTGAAGGTAATCACAATGGTAAATTTAATTCCAATGGCCAGCCAAAACCCATGGGAAGAAAGAGCAAAGACACATGCAGGAGGGGCAGAGAACCAAAGCATTCATGACAAGATATATTAACACATGGTAAATCTGGGTAATCAGGAGGCTATTTGTTTTACTATTCTTCTGGCTATGCTGTAGGTTCATTGTAAACCCATTCTAAAAGCTATATTTATAATGCAGTGTAAGTATAAATGTGTGATGTTAAGTGTTTTTAACAAAATGATTCTTCAAATAGTATGTAGGTAAGATAGGGTAAATATGGATAAAACTGATTATAAGATGAAGCCTAGTAATGATGTTAGAAGGAAAGGCCCAATAGCTCCAAGAACATATCCAGTTCTTAGACTCCATGCTTATCCACACAGAACAATCCTGTGATCTTCTCCCTTCTGATTAGAACAGTTAAGACCCAAGTTTTCTAATACAGATGGAATTTATTGCAGACTATCACTAATTCCATGTGATTTTAAAGTTAATCTTCTCCACAGTCAATAATTCAAGAAGTTTCTTTTAAAAAGGTAAAAAATTCCTAAAAATCTAAAACCACCAACATTTTATAAAGATATACTTAGAATCAATTAAGATTTAACACCAAAAAAGGGTAATATAAGTAAAATATCATTTAATCGGCCAGCACAGCATTGTTCAATAGAAACACAGTGCAAACCACAAATGCAAGGCATATAGGTAATTTTAAATGTTTTAGTAGTCACATTATAACAAGTAAAATTAATTTCAGTTATATATTTTATTTCACCCAACATATAAAAAAGTATCATTTCAACAAGTAATCAATTTGAAGTAAAATTATTAATGAGAAACTTTATATTCTTTTCCAGTCTGTCATAGAAACCAGTGTATATTTTACAGTGTGTTTCAATTTAGACAAGCTACACTTCAAGTGCTCAAATAACTCCAGGTGGCTAGTAGCTACTACATGGGCCAGCACAAATCCAGAGCCGTTACAGAAGATCAGTCCCTTGGAATTGTATTTACTGAGTTTCTTCTTTATATAAACAAACATTTACAAATACAACCCTCTTCACCTGAAGCAACACACCTCTGTTTTAATAAAATAACTGTTTATATAAATAACCAGCAGTTCAACCAACAATGTAGTATCAAATTCACAGCCTTTCTCATACATTTTCATGCAAAAAGAAAACACAATGTCATTAAATAGAAACACTCAAATATGCTTTTGCCAACACAGAACCTGCCTCGTATTACTTCTCAGCCACGTAAGAAAACAGGGTAAAAGAAAATACCAAGGTTAACAGAAAAATATATTTCCCTTGGCATAGGCCAAGGAAATCTACAGGGATTGAAAATGAGATATGTTCAGGTATAAATAAAACTTTGTAAAATATATTTAGATAAGGTTATAAAAAAGAACTAAAGAATACTAAAATATTAAGGGAGGGAAATTACACTAATGAACCAAGTTACCACCATTATGTTCACAGGTTCAACTAAAGCCCCAATTAACTTGGAGCCTTGTTATGTTCTAGACAAAGGTGCCTACAGATCCATGTGTGATTATACCCTAAGGATCACACAGTCCCAATTTAAGAAATAGTACCTTACATTTTCTATTCCAGTTGAGAAGTATTTTTAAAGGCAACCTCGAATAACACAAAATTTTAGAAAGTTGTAAAAGTAGCCCACTTTTCAATTTATTTACCTCATTTCAACATATTTATAAGAAATAAAACTTTACTACCCTTTACCTGTGGCAGGGTTGATGCTTGCTGCGATGTGAAAATGACAGAGTGCATTGGCATGGTGAGAAATGTGTCTTTGAACTTCATGTGTTGCCATCTGGTCAGGCATTAATTCAGTATGAGTTACAAGAACAGAAGACCTCCTTTGTCCTTTCCTTAAATTTTTCAAATGGTGTATTGTCTAAAATGGAAAAATAATTGCTGAATCCAACTCTGGAAGGTCTAATAAATGCCAGCCAAAGAATACTTTGCTTTTGTTGCTGTTCTTGTTTTTCCAGTGTTAGAGATCAAATGCACTGCCTCATGCATGCTAGGCAAGGCCTCTACTACTAGCTACACCTTCAACCTCCCAAAGAACTCTAGTTTGTGTGTGTGGCAGGGGGTGTACTGGGGTTTGAACTCAGGGCCTCATGCTTACCACAGTTTCTATCACAACTCCAACTCTTTTTACTGTGGTTATTTCTGAGACAGAGTCTTGCTTTTTGCCTGGACCAGGTTCCTCCTATTTACGTTCCCTGCCATAGCTGGGATGATGAGCACATACTACCACACCCAGTTTTTTTGGTTGAGATGCAGTCTTGTGAACTTTTTGCCCAGGCTGGTCTGGAAATGTGATCTTCCTGATCTCAGCCTCCCATGTAGGTGGGATGACAGATGTGAATAACTGGCACCCGACAAGGTAAACTTTCTTAATTATAGTAAAATAATTTTGGATATATTTGCTACAGTTCTTTGAAATTTTATAACTCAAGGGAAAAGATAGTTGCTTAAAATACTTATTCATAGTATCTATACAACATGAATAAAGAGCCCTGGATATGATCAGGAAACCCAAAGATTTTTTTTCTTTAGGAGATCTCATTCTGAAATGGGATTTACTACAGTAAAATAACAGTAAAAAGAAAATTCCTCAATGTGTGTGTGTGTGTGTGTGTGTGTGTGTGGTACTGGGGTTTGAACTCAGCGTCACACTTGCTAGGCAGGCACTCTACCACTTAAGCCACTCCAGCAGCCTTAAAATTTCTGAACTTTTGTACCAGGAAGAATACTGCCTTCCACAATTCTCACTAGAGCTAAACAATGAGCTAAATAACCAAACACACGTCCTCTAGACAACAGGGTACAAAAATAACAAGAAAACCTAAAGGAAAGACCTCATTAAAGTGTTGATCTATGGAACTTGAATTGAGATATATCCATACAGTAAAAGTTACTGATAGCATACCTGCTCGTGTAGACGATTTTGGGTGTGGGCGAAGTCACTACTGGCATGATCTTTTCTTCGTATCATGACCCACCTCATAGTATTTCCTTAGTCTATACCATAACCCACCCCAATACCATGCTTTATAAATTTTCCCATTCTTTTTCTTTGTTCCCCACATTCAGTAAAATGAACTATAATGTGGTATCAAATATTTTTCCATTAAAATGGCACATCTGGTCCTCCTTTTCAAATTTTTCCAACCCTTATCCCTTTTCAAATAGAAAACAGTGTTGATTCAGTGATGTGTCCCCTGCCTCGGGTCCCTTCTATAGAGTTGCTTATTTCCTCAGACCTCCTGGTCTAAACTGCATATTAAATTATTTTCACTACATCTTTAACACTTATCAATGACCTAACACTGGCTAGTTTTTTTTTCCTAGAACAAAAAAGTAAAATTTAAGAATATATACAAACCAGTTGAGTTTCATAGAACTTATCAGAAAGCAAAATAGCTCATGTCATTTTTTAAAATTATTTGAACATTATCAGTAGCATCATTAACAGAGAAAACTTGTCAAATCACATGACCATATATGTTTACTTATATTTTTATTTCATGCATCATTGGCAGTTGCTTAAAAATCAATACATTAGGCACTATGGAGGATACAGAGATATCTAAAAGCCCTATGTTGCATAGTATATGAAAATAATCACAGGCTGAGGGCATGGCTCAATTGGTAGAGTACCTGCCTGGCAAGATCAAAGCCCTGAGTTCAAATACCAGTGCCCACAGGGGGGAATAATTGTAAACATCTATACTTAACATCTTAGTTCTTTGTTTTGCTAAATTTTCAGATTAAATTTAACAAAAGACAGGCCAGGCACAGTGGCTCATGCTTACAATCCTAGCTACTCAGGAGAGAGACTAGGAAGCTTACAGTTCAAGGTCAGATGAGAAAAAAGTTCACAGGACTCCATCTCAACTAATAAAGGTGGGCATTGTGGTACATGCCTGTCATCCCAGCTATGCGGGAGGCATAAATAGGAGGTTCCTGGTCCAGGCCAGTCTGGGTTAAAGCACAAGACCCTACCTGAAAAATAACCAATGCAAAATGGTTTGAAGGTGTTGTTAAGTGGTGGAGCACTTACTTAGCAAGCACAAGACCTGAGTTCAAACCCTGTACTGCCAACAACAAAAACACTTTTAATTACAACTAATTTCACAGAGTTTTACGTTTTACTAATCAAAGCTACTTACTCTCATAGATTTTGACATCTGACAAGCAAAAAGAGAAATTCTGCTACTCACCTAGACTACATTACTATCTACATTTAGCTTCACAGTGGCATAAAATATGCAATCTTACAAGCATAAAGTGAGTACTGACTGTAATTAATTTCATCATGGCACACTGCATGTACCATGTGTACCATCGACTTATGAATTTCCAGCAGAAAAGTATCTTCAAAATTCATTTACCATCTTAAACAATGTAATACCTCAAGAGCATGCTGTATTCTGTCTTTGTGTCTCCCAGCATGAGAAAGGTTGCTGGCAACGCTGGAGGTAGTAGTCTCACAAATCTGCTCACCCAAAAGACAGTCTTCTGGTAATAAGGTTTCCGCCCAGAGCCGGCACACACCATCATGGCATGAAGTTAATAACACATTACAGACAGAACCCCTAACAGCAAAGAGAAATAAACAAGTATTGCTATGAATATCAATTTCATCAAGTAATTAAACACTACTAATATTTGGTTCTTCATGTATAAAAGCGACATTTGTGTAAAAGTAATTTGGAAAAAAGTAATCAAAGGGCTTGATACATAGTTATAGCTGTGAACATCATAGAAACCAGGAAATGGTCCTGACAAAAGCCACAGAAATTAATGCCTGACTCTACATGTGATGCTTAAAAACTAGGCTCTGGAGGAACAGTAATGTCTTCTAAAAAAAAAACTAAACAAAAAAACTTAATCAGAGTAAGTTATAGAGTGATCATAATAAAAGATTATTAAATATAATAAAACTATCTGGTTTCTGGTAATAGTTTTACAATCCAAATAGTTATAAATAGGTAAATAAACAAGCATCTTCATAATAAAACTGTAAGAATATCATTACAGACTACAAATTAATATCCATTAAGCTTGATGCTTCCTTCATAGCATCAAGCAGCTGAAGGAAATTACCTGCTTGTTATGAAAGATAAAAAAATCATTTTTCCTTTTAAAAAATGCTTACATAGCCAGGTGCAGGAGGTTCACTTCTGTAATCCTAGCTACTCATGAGGCAGTTTGAAGCCAGCCCGTGCAAATAGTTCATGAGACCCTATTTTGAAAAACCCATCACAAAAAAAGGGCTGGTGGAGTGGCTTAAGGTTAAGGCCCTGAGTTTAAGCCCTGTAACAAAAAAAAAAAAAAATATTGAGCTGGTGGAGTGGCTCAAGTGGTAGAGCACCTGCTTTATAAGCACGAATCCCTGAGTTCAAACCTCAGTTTCACAAAAAAAAAAAAAAAAAAATTACATAAACTGGGCATTTGGTGGGTTACACCTGTGATCCTAGCTACCTGGGGAGACTAATATCGATCACAGTTTGAGGCCAGCCTGGGCAAGTAGTTTGTGAGACCCCCCATCTCCAAAATAACCAGAGGAAAACGGACTGGAGATGTGGCTCAAGTGGTAGAGCACCTGCTTTGCAAGTGCAAAGCCCTGAGTTCAAACCCTACTCCTACCAAAAAAAATAAAATGCATACATAGAATCTAACTCAGTCAAAAGTTTAAAAAGTATTTCAATAGACACAAATAATTTGAACAGAATAAACCTTTTATTTGGACTCCAAAAATATATAAATTTCCCAAGTTATCTCCATAATGTGTGCTCTGTTTGCTGGTAAGTGTAAACTGCTCTTTGATGTATTTAGCATTCCCTTAGGAATGAACAGATGCTAAGAAGCTTCTGAGTGTTCAATGGCTTTCTCACGTCTGGACAGAAAATACATGAGTCATTTGTATGAGCCGTTTTGTAGTTGGTTTAATTTTCTAAATACCTTTCAGAGGTATCATAACAAGGAGGGAAAACATACAGTCAGCCATCCACATGCATGAGTTTCATATCTATAGATTCAACCACTGGCAGATCAAAAATATATGTGGGGGAAAAACTGCATCTATGCTCAGTATTTACAGACGTTTTGTCGTTATTCCTTAAACAACACAATATAACAACTACTTATAGTTGTAGTAGGTATTGTATATAATCTAGAGATGATTTAATGTATACAGGAAGATAATACTACACTATTTTATATAAAGAACTTGAAGTTCTACACATTTCAGTATCTAAGAGGAGTTCCAGAGCCAAACCCTATGAACACTGAGGAATGACTGAAAATGTAACACAAAACAAAACAACTTTGAAGCCAGGTGTGGTGGCGTGTGCTCTGGGGAGGCTGATGTGGGAGGAGAACTGCCTGAGCCCAGGACTTGAAGACCAGCCTAGGTAGCACAGTGAGATACCATCTCAAAAAAAACTTCTGAACTGCATTACGGAAAATGGATATTTCTAGTAAAATATAATAAAAATATTTAAAACGCTTTGAGAAGATTCTGTTGATAGTCTTAACATTGAAAAGGCATAGCCTAGTCACTTTATTCACTACAAAATATATTCACCACCTTTTATTTTATTGGTAGTTTATTACTATTCATTATTTGCCCTCAAAGTGTGCTTTCCTGTTTACTTGCAAACATATCCTTCTTACAATCTTCTAGTACTGCAGCTACTACTCACAATACCAGCTTACATTGCCTATGCAAACAGTCTTTGCCAAGGCCTGGACTAAGTACTTCAAACACATACACACACCTCTGTAGTGGTACTCTTATCTTCACCCGACAAAGAGAAAAACCAGAGTCCAGAGCTTAACAAACTTTAGTCACAAGTTCACCAGCCTCCCAACAACAACAGGACTTTAATTCAGACAGCTTGACTCAGCCTCGTCTGTTCATCACTACAATCCATGTCAATACAGTAAAAAAAAACTTTATTTTCATTATCTTTACAAGCATGTAAGAATACAAGCCAAAGCTAAATGATACATGTATCTAACCTGGGCATATACTTGCTACTTTTACGCCATGAAAAACCTGTCACTGCTCGAGGATGTGCCAGGTAAACAAAGGAAAACTGAGTAGAAGTCTGTCTCCTTTTCACTTCATGATGATCTTGAGGTATAATGGAAGATTTCCAACCAGTCATAGGATACCACACTTTCAAAAGGCAATCATCCTGCAAAATAAATAGGTCAGTATGAAATTAATTTGTACATATATAATTCAAAATTTAAGTGGTGTGAAGTTTTAAAAATTACAATGTATCTAAAAAGCCAATGTGTAACCTATGCATAGTATAAAACCAACCCTAAAATGTTTATTACTCTATAGAATATCGTTCTTGAAAAATACATGGTCGGTTTGTTCATTATCAATCTTCTCTGTGTGCTGATGTTTTCCAATGGAGACTGATGCCAAATTTCCCCATTTAAAGATGTGTGGGTCACTGAAAAGAAAAGATTGTGATTCCAGCCCCGTGGATAAGAAAAGATAAGAAAGATGCCATGTTATCTTCTCAGTCACAGTTACCACCACTCTTTCCTTTTAAGATGTCTGCAAGGATGAAACTCATCTTAAATATGAATTATTTCTTGTTCTAAATCAGGAATCAGAAAACTTTTCTATAAAGGACGAGACACGGAATAAATAAGTTAGACTTTATGGGTGATACATGTCTGCAACAGCTTCTTCTTTGTTTTTTCCTCACACTCTTTAAAAAATGTAAAAACCATTTTTAGCACAAAGGCTAATAGCTTCCTGATTCCCACTCTAAGTGATGACAAAGCATTTAGACAGCTATCAGGAATCACTTCCATGCTGACTTATAATATTTAGAAGTATAGCAATAGGCACTGACTTTATTGTTTTACTTGGTTCTAACAATTGTGTTAAAAGTTGTCAGTGACTGTATCTTTTTTTTCCCTTTATTGTTATGATGGATGGAGGTACACTATGGCATTTACATAGGTTCTTACAATGTATCAAATATATAATAAATTAATTAACAGAAACTACTTATTTTATAGTATTTTACCCTCAACAGTGAAAGATACATTAAGGAAAATAACAAATGCCATAATTCATGCAAAAATATCAATCTCTAAGAAACACTGAAGTCATCTATTGCTGAAAAGGAGGACAGGTGCAAATATTTTGATCTGGGCTAGACAAACACTTCTGGTTGTCCATCTTGATGCTTACTCTCAGTTTATACTACATAACGAAAATGTATGTCACATTTAACGTCCCACTTATTTGGATATTTTAACTATACAGTAAATCTTTTTAAGTGCTTACTCTGAAAAAACCACCTAACAATGTATGAGTTGCTCTCCTCTAAGTACTCCTTCATCTTAGCATCACTCCCATGTAACAAAATTTACAGAACAATCTATGGCACTGGTTTCAGACAACAACCCCAAAAACCCTAGTTGTACCTCAGAGTCCCTCAGCAGTCATAAAGGAAAGGAAAAGAGCCCCAAAAGCAGGTCACTTCCCCCCATTCCAACAAATTTCCCCCTCAAATGAAGCAGTCCCACTTTTATCTGTTACTGTCTAAAACTCTAAAACCACAACAGAATTGAATAAGCAGTAACAGAAAGATATCTAGAAAATTCCCAAAAAACTGGAAGTGAAGCAAAGCACTTCTAATTATAAGAGAAATTTTAAAAAGATGTTTAGCTGAATAAAAATGGAAGCACAACATATCAATGTGTATGGAGGTGCAGTTACATCAGTGTTTGGAAGGAAATTAATAGCTTTCAATGCTTATATGAGTAAAGAAAGGTCTCCAATCAATGTCTAAACATCCAGTGAAAGAAGTGAACTTTTATTGGAGTCCACTGTAAACTGGCCCATTGCCCAGTTCACCCAGGGTGAACTCATTGTAAATAAAGTAAAATGAAAAATTAAAAACTTGCAATAAAGTGGGTAAGGGAAAAAACAAAAGATAAACAGAGCAAAAAGGAAGAAGTTAAGTTGTCTTTATTCATGTGACTGTGTACATATAAAATTCTAAGAAATCAGCCCCCCAAAAGCTGCTAGACCTCATAAGCAATGTCACAACACTAAAGATCAAAATGTTTAAATAAGGCTTGGGATGTACCTCAATGATAAAGTACTTGCCTTCCATGCACAAGGCCCTGGGTTCAATTTTCAGCAACACACACACACACACACACACACACACGCACGCACACACAAATTGATGGTATTTTTATGTTAGCAACTATTGAAAATGTAACTTTCCCAGAAATAACTCTTGCATTAGGAAGATAAATTTAAATTATATACAAGACATGTACACTGAAAACTACAAACCATTGCTAAATAAATGAAATTAAAGACTAAATAGAGAAGCATGTCATGCCCATGGCTCCAAAAACATTACTATGATGTCAATTCTTCTCAAACTGATCTACAGGGATTTGATGTAAACACAATCAAAATCTTAGTATGTTTCTTTATAAAAATTGACAATACCAAAAGCTGACAATATTAATATTAAAAGGGCTGACAATACAAATGTAGGTAAGAAAGTGAAGCAAGCCAGGCACCAGTGGCTCACACCTGTAATCCTCGCTACTGAGGAGGCTGAGATCAGGAGGATCATGGTTCGAAGGCAGCCCAGGCAAATAGTTCACAAGACCTTATCTCAAAAATACCTAACACAAAAGGGCTAGTGGAGTGGCTCAAGGTGTAAGCCCTGAGTTCAAGCCACGGTACTGCCAAAAAGAAAAACAAAGAAGAGAAAGAAAGAAAGGAAAGCAACTGGGTTATTCAATTAAAAACAGTACAACTTTGAAAAAGTTTTGCCCCTTTTTGGTAAAGTATATAGGACTCACTGATTCTACTATTAGGCACTTTTTACCAATGAGAAAAAAATTTTAATGTCCACACAAAAACCTGAAAATGAATGGTTCCAATAGTTTTATTCATTTTACCCTGAAACTACAAATAACCCAAAAGTCCATCAATAAATAGATTGATAAACAAAATGTGATACCTCCATAAAATAGATTCCAACTCAGCAATAAAAAGAACTACTGATACAAACAGCAAAGATCAATCTCAAAAACATTACTCTAAGTATAAGAAGGCAGATACAAGAGTGCATACTATATAATTTCATTTAGGGTTGGCAGTGAAGAAAGAGATAAAAGGAAATCTTCTGAAATTGTAGAAATATCCTAGAACTTGGTGGTAGTGATTATATGGCTCTTTAAACTTGTCAAAACCCACTGAACCATATGCTAAAATACAGATTTAATATTATGTAAATTATACGTCAACAAAGCCAATTTGATAAAGGAAAGCCTAGGACAATGTAATATTTCAATAGCAACAGATAAAAATGCTCATGTTGATGTTCATGAAGAGTTGTCTGGGACTAAAGACATGACTCGGAGGTAGAACGCTTGCCTAGCATATGTGAGACCCTACATTCAAACCACGTCACCACAACAGAAAAAAGATTTATCTGATTAAGTTAAATTATGGCACATTTATTCATACAATGGAAAATTACAGACCTGGTGGTACGCACTGTAACCCAGCACTTGGGAGACGGAGACAGGAGGATCAAGACCCCATTTAAAAAATACAGATAGATATTTACTGATAGGGAAATCTAGCTATGATTATTAAATTAAAAACCAGATTCAGAACATTGTCTTATTTGAGTATGTGTGCACACACATTTCTGTATGGGTTAGAAAGGTACCAAAGAGTCTGAAAGAATATATATTAAAGAGAAAACAATGACCATTTTAATCAGGATTGAGCAATCTAGCAGGGAAATTTCCAGCAACATAGCCAGACCCTTTAGTCAGGCATTCTGTGAAGGAGAAATAGCTCTTTAATAAGTAAGATTGCACTTTAAGTTCAGATAAAAATTCCAAGCACTCTTAAGCCCAAGAAAAATTTATCACATTTATAAAAAAATGGATCTTATCAGCACAAATGCTCAATAAACTATAATATTTAAAATCCTGAAAGTAATTGGATTTGAGTCCCATAACACCTGAACTGAGATCCTGTCATGTGTAGCAGAGGCGGTAGAAAATGCCTTCCAGTGGGAGATCCACAGTGACCATCTGTTTTATTAAATCAGATGAACTTGTCTTTGTTAACAGAAGCAGAGCAGATGGAAGGGGGACAAAAACTGCCCAGCATTCCATTAATTTCTGTTCTTTTATCAGGAGCCCAAGACACGTTTTCTTAACCCTCAAAGGATTCTTACCAAAAAAGGAGTCTTATCTTTCCCTAACAATTATGAAATAGCTCTTAGGAGAACTGAAAATAAGAAGCTTAGGGAGACATGACTAAAACAATGAAAAAATCCTCAGTAATCTGCTGAGACTGAGTACAATAAAAACTCAAAGAAAGAAGGTACCAGGCATTTTGGAATAGAAAGAGAGGAACCTCCTTGAGGAGCTTAAAATCTAGTTGCTCATTTAAAAGGAATGTGCTTAATTTAGCCTTATTACTCATTTCTGTCTGAAGCACAAAACATCTTTCAGATCCATTAGGGATGAGAGTTCATATAATCAGAAGATGTATACACAATGAATGCTAACTATCTTGATCATTTTTTAAATACCAAATGATCCTGCCAAAAGACTATAAACCTTAAAATAATCCTAAAGTTTAGGCAGCTATAATACACAAGTGAGGCAAACATCACACATTAGGTAAGTAAAGAGAGATAACCAGAAACACAAGGAATATGGGAAGGAAATCATCTACAGAAAGGGAAGAACCTGGAAAACAAGCAGTAGTTTTTGTGGGTATTTTAAGAGTTCTTTTAGACGGTAATAGAAATAATGTAATTTGGATTGATACACTATTCTTTTTCTACTCTCCTCTCTCCTCTTTCCTCTCTCTCCTCTCCTCCCTGCCACCCAGAGAGAGAGAGAGAGAGAGAGAGAGAGAGAGAGAGAGAGAGAGTGTGTGTGTGTGTGTGTGTGTGTGTGTGTGTGTGTGTGTGTGTGTGTGTTTTGCTAGAGATTGAGCCCTGAGCCTTAAATAGCTAAGTATTCTATACTCAGCTACAGCCACAGCCTAAATACACTATTCTTAATTCAATCAGGTTTCACATCTTTTTAATAATTTCATAAGAACCAATTATTATGCTATATTTGGTTTTGTCTGTATACAGCTGTATTAAGAAGCCAA